GCCCTAGCTCATTCATTGCCAAGCATCACAGCAGCAGCAGCAGTAGCAATCGTGAGTGGCAGGTGGTGACTGTTTGCCTTAACCACCAAGAGTCTTTAATTTTTGCTTCTTAGCTTCTGTTCTCATTGAAGGAATAGGATTTTGTTTATCTTTTCTGGGGTTTTTTTTGAGGCAATTGGGGTTCAGTAATTTGCCCAAGGTCACACAGCTAGTAAGTGTCTAAGGTTGGATTTCAACTTGGCTCCTCTTGACTCCACAGCTAGTGCCCTACCCACTGCACCACCTAGCTGCCCTAGAATGAGAACTTGAACCTGTGGTCCCTCCAAATCTGAAGGATCATGAACTCATGTCAGAAGATTCTTCCCTTGATGTCTTGCCAACCCAGTGGCCCCAGTGGCAGATTCAAATTCAGTTTGTATTGAGATTATGTGTACATGTTGCAGACTCCCTATAAAATGTAAACTCCCCGAGTATAGTCACTGCTTCATTTCAGCAGCCCTTAATGAAGTGCCTGGTGCTTTTTCTTTGGTAAATCCCCAGTCAAGAAGGTCCTCTCCTACTGAAACTCCTAGCTTAATAGATGTTGGCTGCATTGCCTAGGATGTAGGGGCAGAGACAGCAGCATTGTCTAGATTAACAGGAAGCATTTTTTTTCCACTCGCGGCACAGCAGCTGTATCCTCTCAGGGTGCTGAGCAGGCTAATTTTAGAGATTAGACCCAACTGGGTGGGGATGACTCCCTTCCTGATTTGGAAACTTAAGACTTTTACTCTTGATTAGAGAGGAGAGTGGAGCTAACTATCTGTAACTTTCCCCTTGGTCCCTCCCAATATTAATCCTTGGTTCTAGACATGAAATAGGGAGTGGAAGGAGACCATGGCCTCTGAAGCTGAGGTCATCCTCAGCTCCCCTTCCAAGCCCAAGGAAAAGACACAAATAATTGCGGAGTCTCGCCCTTGAATTGCCCCAGACCACTTCGTTCTTTCATTTGGACCCGAAGAGTTGGAGCAGCTGGGAGCACAGGTTTCACTTGGAAGCTCCAAGCAACAGCAAATGGTGGACATTTTATGGTTGGAAGAATGCTTTAGATTGCTTAAGCCTCTGAAGAGGTTCAACTGATAGGTAGGGTTGGGTAGCATGATTGCTTCCTCTTTTGTCAGCATCTCTTAGCAAACTGTGTCCAACTGTTTGCCAGCAAAAGTTGCTGTGCTTAGTTTGCAATACACTTCAGATTGACCCATCAACCCTGAGGAGAGAGGACAAAAAGAACAGGGACAGTGCAGAGGAAGATTTATCTGGGGCCCTGGTACCATTTTAGTCTTCTCTATGTCAGGTTGGAGATGAGATGGACTCTGGGCTAGAAATCAGAAGATGCCCAGAAGTTGCCCTGTGATGACCCATGTATTGAGCTTCACAGATATTGCATTTTTTTTTTACAAATTAGTTTGTGGCAATCCTGCATACAGCAAGTCTATGTGCCCCATTTTTCCAATAGTGTGTGCTCACATCATGTCTCTGTGTCACATTTTGGTGATTTTCTCGATATTTCAAACTTTTTCATTGTTATTAGATCTGTTATGGTGATCTGTGATCAGTGATCTTTGGTGTTACTATTGTCATTGCTTTGGGGTGGCGTGAACCACACCCATGCGAAAGGTAAACCTGATCAGGGTTGTATGTGATCTTGATTGCTCCACTCACCTGCAGTCCCCCACCTCCATGTCTCTCTCTGTCTGTCTCTGTCTCTATGTCTCTCTCTCTGTCTCTCTATCCCTCCTCCCTCCCCTGTCTGTTTCTCTGTCTCTCAGTTTCTGTCTTTTCTTCTCTCTCTTTCTCTCTGTCTCTGTTTCTTCCCCCCCCATTCCCTGAGACACAGTACTATTGAATTGAGGCCAATTAATAACCCTGCAATGGCATTATAGTGCTCAAGTGAAAGGAAGAGTGGATTGATGTTGCAAACTTCATTGTTGTCTTATAAGCCACCCCAACTTTCAGCAACCACCTCCCTGATCAGTCAGCAATCAGCACTGAGGAAAAGATTACCATTCGCTGAAAGCTCAGATGATGGTTAACATTTGTTTTTAGCAATAGGGTATTTTTAAATTGTCATGTACATTTTTTCTGACATAATACTATTGCACACTTAATAGACTACAGTATAGTATAAACAACTTTTAGATGCACTGGAAAACAAAACCATCCTTGTGATCTGCTTGATTGTGATAGTCTCTCTATTGCCCCACAATATTTCATATGCCTGTATAATTACCTAATTCTGTAAACCAGCCCTGCTTCTGTTTTGAGTCCTCTCAATAAGGCCCAGAAGCATTGCCTTCTAGTCCCTAAATCATGCTCATCAATGGCCTTTGATCTCGGACAGTTTCACTATCATTAAAGCTCTGGAAACTGCTTTCATCAATTGACCTAGCTCTTTTTCTTTTTCAATCATGAGGGTGTTTTCTAAACTGCTCAATGAGGAGTAAGGATCAGGGACAGGGACACAGTGAATGAATCCTAATGACACATTCCCTCAAGAGGTTCAAAAGGGAGAGGAGGTTTAGAGCCCGGCCTACGGGTTTCTTAACCTTGGCATATGGCATCCTGGAGGTGTGGGTGAAGCTGAGGCTGTACCAGTCAACTTGGTTTTCATTATTCTTCAGGAATTATGGCAGGATATTGAATTGGCAGGGTATGTCCACTGCCTATGTAAGGGCTGTGTGTATAGATATGGGTTGTATTAATGTGGCTTCTGAGAAGCATGAATAAATATCTCTGGGATCTTACCCATGTAGATCTAAGGGAGACTTTGATTCCTGCCTAGAGAAGGGGATGTAGGATGCCTGTGCTGTTCTTTCATAAAAAGGAGTCCCAGACTAGAATTATATTAAGCTTCACAGCATGCCCCTTCCTACCCCCCACCCCCCTGCCACACACACACATTATTGTTAATCTAGGGGAATTTTTTTTATTCAAGCCACTTTCTTGAGTATTATCTTTTAAAAGGGACAAGTTGGCCTAAGCTTCTATTCACAGACTTGACTTCTTCCCAACCAAATTTCAGTTGTACAGAAGACCATCACAAATAGTCAACAGCAAATAAACTCACTTATACAAGCAAATAACAAATAGAAATTGGAGAAGTTAAATGGACCAAATGTGGGCAATACGTAGAGTGAATGAACTTTCCCCCGGAGAATGAGAGGCCTCCATCTCAAAGTCTTGAGAAAGACAAGCTGAAAATTAGGGATATGTTGAGGATCCAGCTTCTCTGTTTGCCTTCTGATGTCCATGGGTCTCTTCCTGGCAAGAGTCTGGAACTATGTGTGTCTTGTCTTGAAGCAGCAATAAGGAAGTAAGTCCTTCCTCTCTAAAAGTCCAGTTATCCTGGAGAGGACATAATGTCCTCCATGGCCTGGCCTCATGAGGCTGCCCATCATACGTTGAGCTGCTTCTAATTGTGAGGAAGGTTTCCTTTACCAATTCTCAATCAGCCTTAGGAATGACATTGGATCAAAAGAATCTAAATGTAGTATTGCTGAAGAAGTCAGTGTGGAACTGCTGCTCCTGGTTGGGATAATAATAATAATAATAATAATAATAATAATAATAATAATAATAATAATAATAATAGTAATATTTATATAACACTTTAAGGTTTTCAAAGCACTTTACAAATATTATTTTATCCTCACAACAGCCCTAGGAAGGAGGCCCTATTATTAATATTATCATCTTACAGATGAGAAAACTGAGACCAGGATGAGTTAAGCAACTTTCCCAGTGTCACACAGCTAGCAATATCTGAAGAAGAGGAGGCTAACACACTGGGTAAACTGGGTGGATGCTAAGTGATTACAGCTTTTTGTGAGAGCAGAATTTAAAGTTGGTAAATTGATGGGGGAATGGGGGAATGTTGGGTAAGAAGCTTTTGATCACAGTTGAGCAAATGTTGAATTGGAGAACTGATTTGCAGGAAAACTTTGAGATAATTACAGTGTCATCATGTTGATGTGTGTAAGTATGAAAGAGATAGTAGTGTTCAAAGTATCTGTTTCACATAATGAAGAGCTAATACTAAGGAAAGAAAATACTAAGCTAGGAAAAATAGGCCGGCTGACCTTGATTCCTAAAGACAGAGGAAAGGTCAAGTTCTGAGGTATCAGGGAGAGCTGTCTACATTTATTGCTTCCATTCTCTCTCCTCCCATTCACTTCTCAATCTCTTGTAGTCTGACTCTTTATCCTACCACTCAAATGAAATGCTTTCCCTAAGATCACCAATTACTGAATTACATTTTTTGCAATCCTCATCCTTTCTTATATCTGCCCAGAAGTCAACATCATTGACCTCTCTACTTCCTCTCTGGTATTCTCTGTTCCTTTTTTTTTTTAAATAATAATACTTATAGAGAAGTACATCAAATTTGTAAGAATACAAGTCATTTCTCAATTGGTAAATAGTCAAATGATATGAACAGGCAACTTTCATAGGAAGAAATTAAAGCTATCTATAGTTATATGAAAAAATGTTCTAGGGGCAGAGCCAAGATGGCAGAGTGAAAGCAGTGACTTGCTTGAGCTGTCCCCTAAACTCCTCCAAATACCTAAAAAAAATGGCTCTAAACAAATTCTAAAGCAGCAGAACCCACAAAAAGACAGAGTGAAACAAACTTCCAGCCAAAGACAGACTGGATGGTTGATCAGAAAGGTATATTGCACCGGCGGTTTCCAGACCTCTCAACCCACAAACACCAAAGACAAATTAGAAGGTCAGTGGGAAAAGTCTGTTTCTGTGGTGAGAGAAAGAAGCAAGGTGATTTCAGTTCCAGTCCCGAGCTTGCCCTGGGGCAGCAGCTGCCTCCTGAATTTCCGGCCCACAGACTGAGGGGGAATTGAGTGGCTGATCAGATGGAGATTGAAGGGATTTCTCTGCTGGTGCAGGATTCTCTTGCTTTGCCCATGCTTGAATCTGGGTCACAGTTCTGCACGGCGGTCCTGGGGCAAGGAGGAACGCTGGCATGGTGGAGCTTATTGTGGCTGTAAAGAGAAAATCCTTACAGTTCAAAGATAGAAAAGAGTGCTTGTGGTCATTCATAGAACATCGCACAGGCCAGGAAAGGAGTAAACACCTCGCCCTTGATCATAGTATCTTGGAAGAACTGGAAATTTACAAGTCCCTAGAAGTATCTCTGAAAACAGCTGCACAAAACCCCTGAAGCTTGGCCACAGTAAATTCTCCATACTGAAAACACACTCCAACCTTAACAAAGAGTTTATAACTCAAGTAATTGGCTGGAATCATGAGCAAGCAGTGCAAAAAGAGTCAGACTATATTATCTTACTTTGGTGACAAAGAAGATCAAAACATACAACCAGAAGAAAACAAGGAAGCCAAAGCTCCTCCATCCAAAGCCTCCAAGAAAAATATGAATTGATCCCAGGCCATGGAAGAGCTCAAAAAGGATTCTGAGAAGCAAGTAAGAGAAGTAGAGGAAAAACTAAGAGTAATACTAAAGGAGATCCCAAAAAATACTCAATAAAATAACACCTTAAAAAATAGCCTAACCCAAATGACAAAAGAGGTCCAAAAAGCCAATGAGGAGAAGAATGCCCTAAAAAGAAAAATTGGCCAAATGGAAAAGGAAGTCCAAAAGCTTACTGAAGAGAAAATACTTCCTTAAAAATTAGAATAGAGCAATTGGAAGCTAGTGACTTTATGAGAAATCAAGACACTGTAAAATAAACCCAAAAGAATGATTAGAAAACAATGTGAAATATCTCGTTGGAAAAACAACTGACCTGGAAAATACATCCAGGAGAGAGAACTTAAAAAGTTATTTAACTATCTGAAAGCCATGATCAAAAAAAGAGCCTAGACATTCTCTTTCAAGAAATTATCAAGGAAAACTGCCCTGATATTTTAGAACCAGAGGGCAAAATAGAAATTTAAAGAATCCACCAATCACTTCCTGAAAGAGATCCCCAAAGAAAACTCCTAGGAATATTTTATCCAAATTCCAGAGTTCCCAGGTCAAGGAGAAAATATTGTAAGCAGCCAGAAAGAAACAATTCAAGTATTGTGGAAACACAATCAGGATAACTCAAAATTCAGCAGCTTCTACATTAAGGTTCTGGAGGGCATGGAGTATGATATTCTGAAGGACAAAGGAGATAGGACTACAACCAGGAATCACCTACCCAGCAAAACTGAGTATAATCCTTCAGGTTAAAAAAAAAAAGGTCATTCAATGAAATACGGGACTTTCAAGCATTCCTGAGGAAAAGACCAGAGCTGAATATAAAATTTGACTTTCAAATACAAGACTTAAGTGAAACATGGAAGAGGTAAACAGGAAAGAGAAATCATAAGAGACTTATTAAGATTGAACTGTTTACATTCCTGTAGGGAAAGATGATATTCGTAACTCATGAGTCTTTTGTCAGTATTAGGGTAGTGGGAGGGGAAAAATGTTATGTATGTATACGTAAATAGATAGAGGGCACAGGGTGAGTTGAAGATGAAGGGGTGATATCTGGAAAACAAAATTAAGGGGTGAGAGGATTATACTGGGAAAAGGAGAAAGGGAGAAGTAGAATGGGGTAAATTATCTCACATGAAGCAGACAAGTGAGAGGGAATGAGTGAATTTTATTCTCATAGCGTTTGGCTTAAAGAGGGAATAACATACACAATGGGCTATGGAAATCTGTCTTATCCTACAAGAAAATTAGGGGGGAAGGGGACAAGAGAGCAGGGGTTGATAGAGGGAGGGCAGATTGGGGGGGATAATAGAAGCAAACACTTCTGAGGAGGGACAGGGTCAAAAGAAAGAATAGAATAAATGGGGGGTAGGATAGGATGAAGGGAAATATACTTAGTTTTGCACAACAGGACTACTATGGAAGTGTTTTGCATGACTACACATCTATAACCTGTATGGAGATGCTTGCCTTTCAAGTGAGGGTGGGTGGGGAGGGAGGCAGGGAGAAAATTTGTAACCCAAAGTTTTAAAAACATGTGAAAAAGAAAAAAAAAGGAAAAAAAAATATGAGGTACCACATCACACCTGTCAGATTGGCCAACATGACTACACAGGAAAATGATAAATGTTGGAGAAGATGTAGTAAAATTGGAACACTAACGCATTGTAGGAGGAGTTGTGAACTGATCTAACCATTCTGGAGAGCAGTTTGGAACTGTGCCCAAAGGGCTATAAAAATGTGCATACCTTTTGACCCCGCAATACCACTTCTAAGGGTGTGCTAATAAAATGGGGAAAGGATCCACAAAAATATTGATAGCAGCCCTTTTTGTGGTGGCAAAGAACTGGAAATTGAAGGGATGTCCATCAGTTAGAGAATGGCTGAACAAGTTGTGGTATATGAATGTAATAGAATACTATTGTGCTATAAGAAATAATGAGCAAGCAAAAACTTCAGAAAAACCTGGAAAGATTTGTATGAACTGATGCTGAGTGAAGTAAGCAGAACCAGGAAAACACTGTACACAATAACAGCCACATTGTGCAATGACTAACTTTGATAGACTAAGCTCTTCTCAGCAATGCAAGGATCTAAGACATCTCCAAAAGTCTTATGATGTAAAATGCTATCCACAACCAAAGAAAGAACTATGGAATTTGATTGCTGATTGAAGCTTACTATTTGCTCTTTTTTCTTCTGTTTTGCTTTGTTTCTTCTTTCTTGTGGTTCCTCCTATTGGTTCTTATTCTTCTTTACAACATGACTAATGTGAAAATACATTCAATAGGAATGTATATGTAGAGCCTATAGCAAATTGCATGCCACCTTGGGGAGGGTATGGAAGTGAATGTTGAAAACTAAAAATAAATAAATAAATAAGCAAACAAATGAATAAATAAATAAGTGTAGGTAAATGAATAATACTGTTTTCTTCTGGTCCTTCCCCTACCTGTAGAACCATGTCGGTTTCTCTTGCTAGATCTTCTATGTCCCATATTGTAGCTGTGGGTGACCCCAAGGCTCTGTCCTGAATCCTCTTCTTTTCTTTATTGATAACCTCCCTCAATAAGCTCAATAGCTTCCATATCAATTCAATGCAGATTTTATTTCCTTCTCTTTAGATTTTTATTGCATTTTATATGTGCATGGGATAATGCAATCCCCTTGAAGGCAAGGAACATTTGTTACTCTTCTTTGTGTCCCACGCATAGTAATTTCTGCATCCATGTTTCTATTCAGCTCTGGTCTTTTCATCAGGAATGCCTGAAAATCTTTCATTAAATAAGTATTCCCCCTCCCAAAAAACATATACTCACTTTTGCTGGGCAGCTTATGTTAATCCTAGCTCCTTTGTCTTCTGGAATGCCGTGTTCTAAGCCTTCTGATCCTTTTATGTGGAAACTGTTAAATTTTGTGTGATATTGACTGTGGCTCCATGATATTTGAATTGTTTCTTTTTGGCAACTTGAAGTATTTTCTCTTTGACTGGGTAGCTCTAGAATTTGGCTGTAATGTTCCTAGGAATTTCTATTTTGGATCTCTTTCATTCAGTAGAGTCTTTCAATTTCTATTTAACCTCTGGGTCTAAAATATCATGGTGGTTTTCCTCCATAATTTCTTGAAAGATGATGTCTAGGCTCTTTTTTTTTTTATCACTGCTTTCATGTAGTTCAATAATTCTTAAATTATTTCTCCTTGCTCTATTTTCCAGGTCAGTTGTTTCCCCAATGAGATATTTCACATTTTCCTCAACATTTTTTTTTCATTTTTTTAATTTGGTTTTATTGTTTCTTGGTGTTTCATGGAGTCATTAGCTTCCACTTGCCTAATTCTGATTTTTAAAAATTGTTTTCTTCAGGGAACTTTTGTACTTCTTTTTCCATTTGGCCAATTCTACTTTTAAGGTATTCTTTTCTTTTATAATTTTTGTGCCTCTTTTTCCATTTGGCCAGCCCTGGGTTTTTTGTTTGTTTGTTTGTTTTTGTTTTTGTTTTTTAAGGTATTATTTTCTTCATTATTTTTTCTGCCTCTTTGATCAAGCTGTTGACTCTCTTTATGATTTTTTTGCATCACTCTTATTCCTTTTCCCAATGTTTCCTCTACTTCCCTTAAATGAGTTTAAAAATCCTTTTTGAACTTTCTCCAGGCATTCTTGTTAGGCTTCTGACCTATTCACATTTGTCTTTGAGGCTTTGCTTGTAGCTGTTTGGCATCATTGTCTTCTGAGTTTGTGTCTTCTTCTTCCCTATTTTCATAGTAAGTTTTTATGGTCAGGTTCTTTTTTTGTGTGCAGGTTTTGTGTTTTTTGTTTCTTTCTTTGTTTGTTTGTTTGTTTTGTTTTTTGCTCATTCTTCCAGCCTATTGCTTGACTTTTAACTTTATGTGAAAGTTATCTCTGCTCCTGGGGTGGAGAGGGCACTCCACTCAGGTTTTTGGTTCTGCTGTTTTCCAATCTAGTTCTGGGGGTCTGAAAGTTTTCACTCCTTCCAAAGTGATATGATCTAAGGAAAAGTATGGGTATTGTTCTCCTGGCCTGTGTTCTGGTTTTTACCCAGGAAGGCACCTTGTTCCTATGTAACTATAAATGCAGGCACTCCTGGAACTATGACCAGGTTCCCCTGCTCTCCTGAAGCCATAAGCAGTACTGCTTCTCTTTGCCCTGAGACCATGACCTGGAACTGTGTATGAGCAATGCAATGGGATCCTGGCCCCAGTGCCAGCAAAGCGTCCCCTTCAATCTCTTTCTGACCAGTTATCTGATCCCCACTGGTCCCTCCCATCCTTACAAAAAATTCCTTGCTGTACCTTTTCCCTCCCTCTAGCTATTGCTTATATTCAATGCTATACTTTATCCCTAGAATTCCCTTCTGTTTTATTGTTTCCTTGTGCAAACTTCCTCTATTCTTATTAATCTCATTCAATCCTTTGAACTCTGGCCTCCAACTATACCACTCAACTGTGACTATTCTTTCCAAAATAACTAATGATCTCTCTTTTTTAACATAAATTTCTATTGATACCTTTTTTTTATTACATTGCCTAAATTCCTTCCCCCATATTCCTTCCTCTCCCAGGTAGCCATCCCAAATGTTTGACAATACATTTGCCCCCATAGCTTATTCTCCCATAGCCAGGATTCTATGGAATGGTAGTCTGAGAAGTTTAGAGACATCTTCTCTACTGCTAGAATCTCAAGCCCTCATTGACTCCCTCACTGTTATGCACCAGTGAGTAGCATTCTTAATTCCATTTACTTAACATCAATTAGCTTTTATAAAGGGACATTTATTTCAAATATATAGTAAGAATAAATGGACACTTTCCCCCAACTTTGGGGCATACTCTGCCCTGCTTCACATAAATCTGGGTAGGCTGAGACAGCACAGTTTTTAGACAGTATTGATCCCATCAAGTTCACACCCAGATATGGCATGACTGCAGAATGAATCCTCACCTCACCTGGATTGGGTCTAAAAGGTCATTCTTTGTTCCTGAGCGCATCAGTGCTTGACTGGTTGCAGAACCCAGCATGGTCTATCACTCTGGGATTCCTGTAGGTGCAGTGTCCTGATCTTTGGAAACTCGCATGGTCAGTGCCTGCAGATTAACCTTCTTTACCTAGAACAAAAAGACCAAGGCAGAGTCAAATACTGTGGTCCAGTTCACAGGGCCTCATTGCCTTAGTGGGAAAAGGACATGGTCTCTCCTCTTACAGCATTGCTCCTCACTGGACACCATGGGAAAAGGAACCAAACCACAAAAGCAACTGAAGGAAAAGTGGCTGAGGCTCTGACAGCCATTTTCTGAAGTATTCTTAGTTGAAAAGCTTTCTTCTAGACACAAGGTTAGCAGACCATAACTGATTGCTGAATGGGTAGTCATCATAAAGCTCTTGGAAGCAGGCTTTTTAGCCTGTCCTGCATGGGGAATCTGCAACACCAGGCACTCTGATGCCCTTTGGGCACATTCCAGTTTTTGTTGCACATTTAACAAAGAAGAAGAAGAAGAAAGGAGAGACAGCAAAACCAAACAATTTCTTTTAAAAAAAAACCCTGAAAACATATGCACTGATACCCACAGACTGTCACCTCTTCAGAGGAGTAGGCAGGGATCAGGGGTCAGAAGACAGCTTCTCCTATGTCTTCCTGTGGCCGAGCTTGTTCTTTATAATTTCACAACATTCATTTTCAATTGTTTTGTGGCTGCTCTTTCCACTTACACTTCTAGTGTAATCCACTATAGTGGATTTGTACCTTGTTTGCTTGGCTCACTTTATTTCACTTTGTATCCGTTAGAGTAAAGCTTTCCATATTTTCATGACATAACAGCCCTCTTATAAAGCCCTTTAGGCTACCCTACAGAGCACAATGATTACTGCAGGAAGAGTGCTGGAACAAGGAGATGGTAGCTGAACTTCTTGGGCCTTTTTTGGAGACCTCTGTAGCCAATCAAAGAGCCTCTTTCCCACCACATGGTGAGCTGAATGGAACCAGTTATGGAATATCTACCCATGGTCCACAGCCTTTCTCTCCAAGGCACTTCCCCTCTTCATATTTCTTCCAGAAACTGCTCCCTGGAATCCTCCACATGGACAGATGCCATCTTCTCCCTCACGTCTTACACTTGGAGATGCCACCCAAGGACTTCTAGGCACACACCAGAGCCCAATGACACCATCATTATTGCAGCTTCTTTCCTCCCCTTCTCATAGATAGGCTAATCTTTAGCCTCGGAGACTCTTGCTTTATTCTATTTCTTTTTCAGTTCCTCTACTAGTTTTCCTTGTCTTTGCCTCCCATTATTGGGAGGAGGAGGAAAGGTTTATTTGGTGCCTTTATCGTTGTTTTGACCTCAGACTTAACACTTCACTCTGTGATGTTTTGCCCATCATGTGAAGCCCAATTCAAATGTCACCAAATTCAATCCTTTCTCCACTATCAAGCATGTACTGTCTATCCCGGGGGGGAGGAGGGGGACAAACAACATTTTATAAGCATGTCTTTAATACATTTTTCATGTTTTTTTAGAAACAGAAGTCTGCAGATCACATGCATGTCTGCCTGACACCAACGGCAACAGTGTTCTCACCCCTTACACACCAAACTGATGTTTCAGGTCTTCTGATTTTCTTGATTTCCCCTCCTCCTTCTCAGGCTAAAGGATCATAAAAACATCATATTTTGCAAGACTTTATAGATATAATAAAGTAAAAGTCAAAAACAAAAAAAATGACAATTCATCAAAATCAGTGTATGTGTTTAGAACATTCTTATTCTTTAAAAATTCTGGGGGCCAAGTTTCTCAATTCCCTTTTGTTGTTCCTTGTTCCATGATAAGAAGAACCAGATGAAGCCAAACTCGTGAGCGTGAACAGGAATAGCAGTTCTTGGGTAGACTTCTCCTTCTGATTTAACTCCACCTCCGTTCTTTCAGCTCATTCTTTTCCAGCAGGGAAAGGTGACTGGCAGAGCTCATATGGTCCCTTTCTCTGGGCCAGCATCTTTAACAGAAGATAGAGAAAGCACTTCAGCACCACTGACTTCTCAAGACACAGAAAGAGATGAGTAGACAGAAATGGAGACCACCTGGTGATTCTCCCCACAAACGTGAGTTTCCTGTCTTTTGGGGCAGCTTGGGGTCTGTCCAAGAATCAGTGAGCAAGAACTTGGGGGCGAAGTGTGAGGCAGAGAGGAGGCATATGGAAAATGCTGATTAGCTCAATATAGGCCTGGAAGCAATTTTAGGTTTCAGGGAATTAATGGAGAATAAGAGAAGAGGACCAGCAGAATCAAGATTGGAGCTGAGGGACATAGCCAAGAAAAAGACAGCATTTATGTCTAAAATCTCTGCAATAGAGGATTACATAGGGGTCATTCTAGCAATGTCAATCAACAAATATTCACTGAGCATCTCCTATGGTCCAGAGGCTGGAGTGGGCACCATGAGCTTGGAATTAGTGTTTGGGAAGGACAGGAAAGGGCCAGAGCCTCTACCTTTGTGAATCATAATGAAATAGTCTCAACTTCAAGAAAAGCCACATAGACCCAGCGATGAAGACTAGTAATCACAGTCTCTGCCCTCAGGAAAAACACCATAGCCCAGGATGCTAAGATCAAGAATGTAGCCCCTGCCTTCAAGAGTACCAACCTAACACCTACATTCAGTTATAGTGATAGCACAGTATGGCAACAAAGCTACTAGACTCAAGACAAATAATCACATCCTCAGGACCAAGAACATAGCCTCTACCTTCAAGGAGAGGAATTTCATGTCCCTTCACTTCAGAATAGAAGGAGCATTTCCCCTGCCCTTCAAAACAAAATCTGCTGATATTTTGAAGTGTTTTACAGTTTGCCAAGCCCCTCTCTCATCTGTCATTAAATCTGGATGACCCCAGAAGGTCACTATTCTGAGTATGCTCATCTCCACTTCTGAGATGAGGAAAGAGAAGCTCAGAGACATGACTACCCAGATCCTTGCAGGGAGCCTAGGGGCCTCAGCAGTGCAACATCCACTTCTTAAAGTTTCCTTCCTCATTGAGAAATAAGAGATGCATGCAAAAAGGGATGACAGAAACAACAACAGTGTCCTGAGCATATTAGGTGTTTTAAATCTGTATTGAATTATTGGAGGCAAATTGCTGTCTATGCTTTTGGAGAGGCTAATGCAAAATGCTTGGGGTGGGGGAAGCTGAAGAAGAGGCTTTGAGCTGGAACTGGCTTTCCGCCTTTGCCCCAGAGTGGCATGCCTCCTCTTCAAGTAAGCTACTATCCCATCACCACATCTCTTCTCTCTAATCAATAAATTAATGAACTTTTATTAAGCATGTATAAATTTATGCTAAGCTTTGCACTATGAAAACAAGCAGATAAACAGCCTCTACCCTCAAGCCACTTACTCTCTTACAGGGGAAGAGAACTCAGAAAAGGGAGCTGAAAGGATTGGGCAGGGGGAGGAGAAGGTATCTGCAAAGTAATGAATGTCCAGAGACTCAGGACTGCAACCTGAAGAGAATCAAAGACACAGCAGGCCTTGGCATCTGTTTTTCTTAAAACAGAGGTTCTGGGAGGTAGCAGCCAATCAGAGGAAAGGGCCACAGGGGCAGAGTGAATTTCCAGGGTACAGAGGCTTCTGTGGCATGGTAGAGAAAGTCCAGAGAATCAGGAGTGGACCCTGGAGTGCCTGCAGTGAAACCTCTGCTGACTCTCTGGGCCACCTGTCCCTTAGATGCTGTGGGGACAAGGACTCCTGCATTGTCTCCTGGTGCCCCTGGGGTTAGATTGTTCTCTCTGCTACAGATACTTCTACTCACCCTCCCCTCAAATTTTGCCCCTGGTAAAAAAATATTTAGTTATGTCTCTACAGTGCCAATGGATGGAGGATAGTGAACATACACGGGTACCTAATAGCAAAGGAGGAGGTGAGGAAGCAGCCTTTATGTGCCTGGACATCCATGGATATCCCCTTTGAGATCAATGCTGGTTCAAGAATAACTGGTGAGGGACTCATATTATTAGCACTTAGTGAGGCAGCTAACCATGAAAACCCCAGTTACCAAGATCGCATGTAACACTGACCATCTAGGCCAAACTCAGTGAATGCACACTGTGGGGCTTCTCTGTTGCCCACTCTCAAATGGCAGCAACCTTCCTCCAAGAACATCCCCTTTGCCTTGCTCAGAAGCCATGTAGGTTGTTGGTGGGCTCAAAGGCAAGGCTGGAGTTGACTCAATGAAGGGACAAGACTAGACTCAGCACATCCCAGTCCTACACAGTATGTCTATGTGTTCTAGTGCATCTGTGTGTTGGGTGGAAGTGGAGAGAGGGGGTTGTTCTATGGATTCACCTTTACTGTGATCTCTGCTATGGATGGATGTTGAAAGGGGGAAACCTACAGAGAGAAGGTAAAGCCAAGGACTTAGGAATGAGAGTTCTGATGTGATGGTCAGTAGGGACAGGACAAGGAGAGGGGAAAAGGCAGCCTGGAGAGGAAAGGGGTGAAGGTGGTGAGGTAGGGCTAGGGGCAGTGGTGGGGAAGGAAAGAGCAGCTGCTGGGAAGAGGCAGGCATGGGGAAGGGTCAGGGTGGAATTGGCAGATAATAGAAGGGGGCAGCCATCCTAAGAGATGCAAAGACACACACTCAAGAAGCCATGACACACGTCCTAGGCAAAGCAGAGGAAAGCTGCTCTGATATCTGCTCTAACATGATGTAAGACTTGGTGGGTGGAATGAGCCAGTGTGAAGGCCATCTTTAAAAATCCCTCTCCTCACAGGACTCTGGCAGTTGTGGCATCCCCAGCACTTACCCAAAGCTCATGTAGGGCTGGCTCTAAGTTTCTTTTGAGTCAGCACTGGGCTCCTAGGTCGCACCTTTGTTATTTAGCAGAAAAGTCATTCTGTTGTTTAGTCATGTCCAACTCTTCATGACCACATTTGTGGTTTTCTTGACAAAGATACTAGAATGGTTTGCCATTTCTATCTCCAGCTCATTTTTGCAGATGAGGAAACTGAGGCAAGCAGGGTGAAGTGGCTTGAGTGTCTGAGGCTGGATTTGAACTCAGAAAGATGAGTCTTCCTGATTCCAGGCCTAGAATTCTATCTACCATGTCACCCACAAGTTGCTGCCCTGATAGAAAAGTTACTCTAGCTCTGGCCATGCAGCCAGCCCAAGCCTCTGAGGTACCCCAAATCTTCAGTCTTGGTGTCTTCCTTGTCCCCACAGAGTATGGAAGCTACTGGCCCCAGCTGAATGCCTGGATTTATGGGCTTCTCATCCTGTTCTTGAGTGCCTATTTTCTTACCAGCTGCGTTGGTGAGTACTGAGTTTGCCCAATCCTGGAAGAAGCATGGTTGCCTCATTCTGCTCAGCCCCAGAGGAAAGACATGGGAACACTGGATACAAGTTACCAAGGAAAACCCTTTGATTTGATGAACAGGAACTCTTCGGACCAGTTAGAGCAAACTGCCTCTTGAGATAGTGTGTTGAGGAATGGAAATAACCCAAAGGGAGCCTCAAGATCTCATAGAAATGAAGGCAGCTGGTGCCTCAATTGTCTTTAGCCCTGGATGGTTTACCAAGCCTTTCTGATGCCAACTTCAGGAGGCAGAGAGTGCATAAATCATTGCACTCAGCATGGAGATGTCCTGCTTTGTCCACAATGGCTGAGCCTCCAAGTCAGGTCTCCTGACCACAAATCCAGTGCCCTTCCGAGGAAGCTATGTGCCTGTACTTCTCTCTGGAAGTCCAAGACATGCTTTACTGTGGGCCAAAGTGCAGAAGGGCTCAGCCCCTTGGGCCACCTAGAAACACCAGCAGGAAGCAGCAGTTCCCTTTTATCATGAACGTAAAAATCATTAGCAAACAAAAAGGAACACCAAAGAGGCGTTCATTAGAAACTTTGAAATTCTCTTATGCACATTTTGGGTTTAGAATAGACAGACAAAAGACAGATAGATAGATAGATAGATAGATAGATAGATGGATAGATAGATAGACACACAGACCCATAGGCAGAAACACAGACAGATAGATGGGTAGATGGATGGTTGGATAGATATGTTCTGTATTTAACAAGGTAATAACCAATTGCCCTATTTGTTGGCATCTCCTTCTGTACATTGTTCTGTCCATTAAGAACTCTTTCACTGGTGCTCTTTTAGAAATCTTTTTGCATCTCTGTCACGATGGCTAGAAAGATAGTCCAGCAGTAGAATGAGCGAGGCCTTAGAAAGAACAAATGGCAAATGGTGGGTGAAAGATGAGGACAAATCAAGGAGCATCCTGCTCAAGTCGCTACTTTGTTACTGATCTTTCTGGTTTCAAGAAAGCGCAATGGCTCCATCTAGCGTTCACTGACAGTACTGGCCCAACACACACTCTGCTAATCCCTCAAAACAACGAAGAAACAAAATTCTTTTTTTTCTTTTAAAAATGTTTTGTTATGAATTTGAAAATCACCAATTACCGTGAACATTTCCATATACAAAGAAGGCCAGGAGAAAGAGGATTATGTATAACACTATGGCTCCATCTCATTCAGCTTCTTTTAAATGTACATTAAATTGAATGTAATAGTACTAACATTGCCTAGCTTGACTGCATCCCCTTCCTGATTTCTTTCTCTTCTCTTTTGTGTATTTTCAGATGTTTAATTGATAAAAACAAGATTCTTGGGGGCTTTCATTGGTGGGGCACAAAACCTCAACCTTACTAGATGACAGTTTGCTGCAGGAAAGAAGGGTGTGCTGGTGCTTTCACTTCACTTAGACCCAGCAGTGACCTTCCTTCTGTCTAGCCCTCATGGCCTTCCCTGATCTTGTGACAAGTCATCCAGTTCCTCTTTGCATTCTGCCTTACTTCATGGAGATTTCTTGGATTCCTTCCTGGGGTTCACTACAGAATGCATCTTGCCATTCCATTCATATCCTATGATTTACTCAATACTTTCTCAGCCAGAGGCCACTTGCTATATTGCCAAATTTCTGCGATCACAATGTGTCTTCGAATTTTTTTGCATATGAAGATCTTTTTTCCCATTCAATAGTACCCTCGGTCAACTCTGGGTCAAAGTACAAAAAGTTTTGTGATTTTTATTATATAATATCCAATTATTTTTCAGAATGGTTGCACCAATTCTGAGCTCCAGCAAGAGAGCATTAATGTGCCTGTTTTCCTATAGTATACCTTCCAAACCCCTCCCTCCATCTTTCACCAATGTCCCCATTTTATGTCTGACATGAAAGAGATTGATGCTTTTATTATTATTCTCATTGCTATATTTTTTATATCATCTCTGTTTCCCTTATATCCCCCCCCTCCACTTTCCCAAAGAGGCCTCCCACGCATTCAATATTTTTAAAGTATATTGAGGATAAGAATTGGGCTAAAAGGACAACTTGATAGAAGTGAATAAGAGAGAGTAGAAATTAGAAGGAATCCTTTTCCTTGCTGTTTATGGAAGAGGACATTCTGAAAAATTCCATCCCAAAACATGGTTGAAACAAGCTAGGATGTGTACCATAGTTTGGTTCTCCTACAGCTGCCAGTCATCTTTAAGAGGGGAAGGCTTTACATAGCTGGCCTCATTTGAAACTCACAGCAATCTTGTGAGATGGGTACTACAGTTATTACTAGTTTTATTTTACAGACTAGGAAACTAAGGTTCAAAAAAGATTAGGTGGCTTGCCCTTGGTCATATGGCTAGTCCAAAGAAGGATTTGAACCCAGTTCTTCCTGATTCCAATACAGTATTCTATCCAATATACCACACTGCCTGTCCATTCGTTACTTCCCTAAGTCCCCAAGATCATCAGGCTTTCAGGAACTGAGTAGGTCTTTGTGTGAAAAGTTGGAGTGCTTCAGATTTCAGAAATAAAAGATCCAGGGGAAGATGTCATATCAGTGATATGGTTGAGAGCATCAGAAGAGACAGGGGTCAAAGAAGTCATTGTGTAGAAGCCCCATTTGAAGGCTGTACTCAGCATTTTTCCGGGTCTTGATTCAAAGTCCACAATGCTAAGAAGAGCTCTGATGACTTCCTTCTGGAAGTGGGATATGCTCTCCCCAGAGCTCACCAGGAATGGAGCTGGAGGAATGCTGGAAATGGAAGGGGGAAAAGATTGCCAAAGAGAACTCAAAGTGTTGTAGAATTTATGCTGAATTTCCTGTGAATTCTCCTGTGACCTAAGCCCATGTCTGTTGTAGGGGACTCTAACTTGGAGCTGAGGCTGGCCAATGGAAGCAGCAGATGTGCTGGGAGAGTGGAGGTGAAATTCCAGGGTCAGTGGGGCCTGGTGTGCAATGATGGCTGGGGCAGAAATGAGATTTCTGTGGTCTGCAAGCAGCTGGGGTGTCCATCTACTTTCATCATCCCTGGGTGGAGGAATTGGACTGTTGCACCTGGACCCTTTTGGTTGGCTGGTGTTTCCTGTCATGGCAGCGAATCTAACCTTTGGGATTGCAGACACAATGGCTGGAGAGAGCATAATTGCACTCGCAGTCAAGATGCCCAAGTGACCTGCACAGGTAAGTCTTGTTTGCACCTTCTTAAAACCTCTAGTGAGAAGTCTTCTTAAAACAGAATTCTGAGAATTAGGGCTAGAGTCAGAATTGGCTTTCAGTACTTGAGTGAGGGGGTGGGGACTGTTCCTGAAGGAGCTCTGTTTCCTAAGAATCCTTCTCCCAAGCCCCTGGCACTTGCTGAGGCCTAGGAGGAGAGGGGAGCTGCTGTCTCCATGGGCACACTGTACTCCAAACTTGTCCCAGTTGTTGGTACCCTTGGTTTTTTAATCCTGAATCCAGCAAAGGCTTGGGAGGGGGTTCTCTACCCTTTCCCATCCCATCTTCTCACACTCTGGGGCAAGGCTTCTGGCTCCCTAAATGTAGCCTCAGTTAAGGACAGTGGGGTGAAGCTTTCCTCTGCATCTTGACAACTCAAGGGGTAGGCACTTGAGGGCTGAGCCTCTAGGTTCCTCCCCACCCCACCTATTCCTGAATGACCACCACCCTTGGGAACAGACTCAGGGTCTGGGTCTTTGCTCCACCCTCAACCTGCAGGAGGGATTGGTGAGCAGAGGTTCCCTCCAGCCATCAAAGTCTCACAAAAGGTGAGGTTTCCCGGGAGACAGAGCTCCTGGGGGGGACACCACTCAGGTGCCTCAGAAAAGTACCAGGGAGGGAGATTAATTTGCAGCCCTTCTCCTAGATTGGGCTGGTGATGAACCTGGTGCTTGGTGCCTGGTGTCCCAGACTGGTCAACCCAGGTCCTTTCCTGATTTCTACTGGGTCTGATGCTTGGGGCTCATGCAGCCTTCTAAGCCTGGCAAGGCCACCGTACACCCATCGCCTCAGGAGTTTGGCTGCAATTCCCTTCAGATTTAGGGTGTTGCCCAGAGGGGAAGACTGGCTGTCTTCCTTGCAGCCCAGTGGCAGGCCCACCAGCCCCCTGTTTGAACCATCTGGAAGATCTTCTTACCTTACCTGGACTCTGGTTCATGACCCAAGAAAAGATTTCCTCCACCCCTCAGGGCTAGTGGTTCATGGCTGAGGACCCCATCCCTGGGGGCCCCACCTGGAGGACTGCCTTCAGGACTAGGGAGTTGTCATGGCACCATGTGTGGGGGTGGGTTGAGCTGTTATCTGATGCAATAGGTGGAATCTGGCTCCTTGCCCTCCTTCCAAAGCCAGTCCAGTAACCCTTCTTAGATTAGCTCTGGAGTCATCCTTCTGCTGTGTGCACCTCTTCAGGAGTCTGAGAGCAGGGATGGGAATCCTGGTTCACTGCTCCTTCAGGGTGGCCTCACTCTTCCTGGTGATTGCTTACCAGGAGCCATGCCTAGTGTTGTCCAGCTTCTTGAAGACTGGACAGCCAGGCTTGCCCAATTACTATTGTTGTGCCTCGAGTATTCAAGGTCTGGTAGTCAATGTGAGTGAATTCCATTTCTGACTTCTTTGGCCTCGGCAGCCCTATACCTCTTTTCTGCCAAATGACCTTCCACTTCAGGGATTTTGTGGTCCCACTTTGTTTGGCCCTGTCACTACCTCTCTTCTTTGGGGAGGCATCCCATCAGGTCTCTTCGATGCCTCTTTTTCTGGTGTGTGTGTGTGTGTGTGTGTGTGTGTGTGTGTGTGTTTCTGCTTGTACACATCTTACTTCTTTTGGAAACCTCTGGGAGTTTCTTGTTATTTCATGATCTATAGGGAGGCCCAGAATTCTCTGTTTCATGGCATAATCTTAGTTCATTTGTTTTTATAGTGGAAACAATGGCCAGCTTTCTTGCAGATCCTGTGATCTCACCTGGCACTGTCCTTTTTAGCACATTTGGTGGTGCATATCACCTTTCCACATGAGAAGAAGGCGGAAGGGATAGTTAACACTGAGGGTTAGGATCCAAAAATATCTTGATGGATTAAAGGACTAGAAATTCAGACATGGAAGATACATCTTTAAGAGGTTGTTCTGTGTAACTCTCACTTTACATCTGAAGAAACTGAGGCCAAGTGAAGTTAGGTGACTACCAAACTGGTAGTAAGTAGCAGGGCCAAGATTTCAATGCAGGTTCTCTGACTGTAAATTTGGTGCAATTACAGCCCTCCTCTTTCTCTCCTCAAGGTTCTAGGAATATTCCTAGATAGTCTAGTCTAGGTTCTAGGTTCTAGGTTCTAGGAATAACCCAGGTTGGCTTAGTTGAGGCCATTCCCTCATTATCAATTGATGTCAATTTGCCGGCCAGACTTCACTGAATTTTCGCAATAGGTATTTTAGTAAGGTGACCTACTAAGAGTGAGGAGGACAAAAAATACCCTCAAAAGTCTGTAAAACCCTCTTCCCACAAGTCCACACACAGTGCAGTGAAAACATTCTAGTGTGAATGAATTTATCAACCACTTCCCAAAATTTTGATGGATGAGATCAAGTTTTACCAATGGGAAATAGATCAAGAAAGGGGAATGCTCTCTGGAGAAAGGCAGATATTGGGGCAGCTAGGTGGCACAGTGGATAGAGCACTGGCCCTGGATTCAGGAAAACCTCAGTTCAGATCCAGCCTCAGACACATAACACTTACTAGCTGTGTGACCGTGGGCAAGTCACTTAACCCCATTGCCTAGCCAAAAAAAAAAAAATAAAAGAGAGAGAGAGAGAGAGAGAGAGAGAGAGAGAGAGAGAAAGGCAGATATGGACACCCCGGTAGGCTATCTTGAGCATCCTGAAGGTGACAAGAGGGCCTGGTATTTGGGTGGACCACATAGGTATGTGAAGGTGGAGAAGGACACAAGCAGACACTGAAGTGCAGAGACAGCAATTTCCCCTTTGACGTTTTATTCAATGGTGTATTTGTACCAAGTGCTCTCAGTGAAATAGAAGGTTCCATTGGTGCTCAAGGATTTTTTAGTCTTTTTAAAGAGAGGAGATGTCAATTACTAACACACTGTACAAGACAATCCTCAATATCTAAATCATTCCCACTTGCTCCTTTTTCTAGGGCCTTTCCCCCCTTTGTTGCATTTATTCATAATATCCCCTGTCCTAGATATCTGAAGGACTCAGTGATTCCTATCCTGAACTGAATAATTGAAAATGCCTTGAATGTGAAATGCAATTTTTATTTTTTAAGTATCTTTGTATTTATTTCCCAATTACACTTAACTTTTTAAAATATTCACTTAAAAAAATTGAGTTCCTAATTATATCCCTCTTGCTCCTCCCCCACCCCTTGAGAAGGTGAGCAATATGATATTGATTATATATGTGACGTCTGGTAAAACATATTTCCATTTTAGCCATGTTTCAAAAAAAAACAGACAAACAAAAACACACAGACACAAAAATAAAACAAGAAAAATAAAGTGAAAAAAATCTGCTTCAATCTCCACTCAGAGTTTATCAGTTCTCTTTCTGGAGGAGGATAGTCATTTTTCAGCACAAGTCATTTAGAATTGTCTTGCATTTTATTGCTAAGAATAGCTGTCATTCACAGTAGTTCATTGTACAATATTGCCATTACTGTGTACAATGTTCTGCTGGTTCTGCTCAGTTCACTTTGCATCAGTTCATGTAAGTCTTCCTGCTCATCATTTCTCCTAGCACAATAATATTCCATCATATATGATTGTTCTTGTTCAACCATTGAACAACTTGTTCAGCCATTCCTTAATGGATGGGCATTCCCTCAATTTCTAATTCTTTGCCACCACAAAAAGAGCTGCTAGAAATCTCTTTGTACATATGAGTTTATTTCCCTTTTCTTTGCTCTCTTTGGGATACAGACCTTGTGGTGGTATTCTTGGGCCAAAATGTATGCATGCACAGTTTCATAGCCCTTTGGACATAATTCCAAATTGTTCTCAAGAATGGTTCAATCAGCTTATCAGTCCACCAATGGTACTTTAGTGTGTCCCCCTATTTTTCTACATCCCCTCCAGAATTTGTCATTTTGCTTTTCTGTCATGTTAGCAAATCTTATAGGTGTGAGGTGGTATATCAAAGTCATTTTAATTTGCATAAAACACAATTTTTAAAATTAAATAGTGTGGTTTGCATAATCTAATAGCCTTCTCCAGGGTTAATAAAATGAAACCCACTGTGAAGATCTATTGATATACTGTATGTAGGAGTGCTTTGTCAACTAATAAGTCTTATGCAAATGGTAGTGGCTGTTATGACTATGTTTCTGCATTCCAGTCTCAATACTGAGAAAGGAGATGCCTCCTTGGAGGCAGTAGAAATGATGATGTTTGATGATGGTGGCTGACCTTTGTAGAGGGCTTGAAGGTTTCTAATATATTGTCTCATTGGATCTTTACAACACTCCTGTGAGGCATTTATTACAATTATTATAATTCTAATTTTATAGATGGGGAAACTGAGATTCTATGTGACTCAAGGACTTGCCCAGGGCCACAGAACTAATAAATACTAGAAGGAAGATTCAAACTTTTCATTGGCCAAAGTCCAAAGGTCTTTTCACTGAACTCTCAAATTATCCCCCCAAACACAGCCACATGGCTCCTCCCAGAGGTCCTCTCCTCAGGAAAACCAGCAACAATAACAAGAATTAGATTTCTTGGCAGGTCTTCAGGCACAGGGTGAATGACTACTTGTCAGGTATTGATGGCACCATTTGGATTCCTTCAGGCTGGGTATCACTAGAATCTGCTCAGGTCCTTTGAAAGCTTCATGTTCTACCCCTGGGGTGGGGGGGGCAGAGCCAAGATGGCAAGGTGAAAGCAGTGACTTGCTTAAGATCTCCCCTGAAACCCTCCAAATACCTATAAAAATGTCTCTAAACAAATTCTAAAGCAGCAGAACCCACAAAAAGACAGAGTGAAACAAATTTCCAGCCCAAGACAACCTGGATGGTTGATCAGAAAGGTGTATCGCACCGGACTGGAAGAGGAGCATAGTTCGGTGTGGGTGTGCAGGCTGCAGTGAACTTTGAACTCAGAGGACTGAATCACGGGCAGCTGTAGAGGTTTCCAGACTTCTCAACCCACGAATGCCAAAGACAACTTAGAGGGTCAGTGGGAAAAGTCTGTTTCTGTGGTGAAAGAGAAGGTAAGTCTCAGCCCCAGTTCCCAAGCATGGCCCCAGGGTGGCGGCTGCCTCCTGAGCTTCTGGCCCACAGACTGAGGGGGAATCGGGTGGCTGATCAGAGGAGGATTGCAGGGATCTCTTTTCCAGTGATGAGGCAGGAATCTCTTGCTTTGCCTGTGCCTCGATCTGGGTCACAGTTCTGAGGGGTCGTCGAAGGGCAAGGAAGAGCACTGGTGTGGTGTAGCTTATAGTGGTGATGGAGAGGAAACACCTCGCCCCTTATCATACCACCTTGCAAGAACTGAAAATTTACAGGTCCCTAGAAGTAGCTCTGAAAACAGCTGTACAAACCCCCAAAGCTTGGGACAGTACATTCTCCACATTGGAAGTAGACCTGTACCTTAATAAAGAGTTCATAACTCAAGTAATTGGCTGGGATCATGAGCAAACCTTGCAAGAAGTGTCAGACCATAGAATCTTGTTTTGGTAACAAAGAAGATCAAAACCTACAACCAGAAGAAGACAACAAAGTCAAAGCTTCTGCATCCAAAGCCTCCAAGAAAAATATTAATCAGTCCTAGGCCTTGGAAGAGCTCAGAAAGGATTTTGAGAAGCAAGTAAGAGAAGTAGAGGAAAAACTGGGAAGAGAAATGAGAGTCACGAAGGAAAATCATGAAAAAACAAGTCAACAGCTTGCTAAAGGAGACCCCCAAAAAAAATACTGAAGAAAATAACACCTTAAAAAATAGCCTAACCCAAATGGCAAATCCAAAAAGCCAATGAGGAGAAGAATGCCATAAAAAGCAAAATTGGCCAAATGGAAAAGGAAGTTCAAAAGCTTACTGAAGAAAATGCTTCCTTAAAAATTAGAATAGAGCAATTGGAAGCTATTGTCTTTATGAGGAATCAAGACACTGTAAAACAAATCCAAAAGAATGAAAAATTAGAAAACAATGTGAACAATCTCTCATTGGAAAAACAACTGACCTGGAAAATAAATCCAGGAGAGAAAATTTAAAAATTATTGAACCATCTGAAAGCCATGATCAAAAAAAAAGAGCCTAGACATCATCTTCCAGAAATTATCAAGGAAAACTGATTCCACCCCCAACCTAATTCTTCTGTGTAAATGAGAACACAGTCCTGAGTTCCCTAGGGAGCTAACTCCGTGAGATCTTTTCTCTATCTATGTCTTTTCCTCTGTTGCAGGTGAAGAAGACTTGGAACTGAGGCTGGCAGATGGGACTAATCGCTGTGAAGGCAGAGTGGAATTAAAAGTCAAAGGACAGTGGGGTACTGTGTGTGATGATAGTTGGGGCAATAAGGAAGCTTCCATAGTGTGTAGACAGTTGGGGTGTGGATCAGCTCTTCATTCCCTCGGGGATGCTAAGAATGGATCTGGCCCCATTTGGCTTGATGAAGTTTCCTGTCTTGGTAATGAATCAGCTCTCTGGAACTGCCAACACAGTGAATGGGGACAGCATAATTGTAATCATGAAGAGGATGTATCCATCCTCTGCTCAGGTAAGTCTTGGCCCCCAAATAGAAATTCTTTTATGCTTGCCATCATGCCTCTAAACAGAAATCTCCTGCGTCTGACTGGCATGATATCCACCCTTGAAGCATTCTCACTTCCTTTTTTAAGTGTTTTAAGTTTTTGAGGAAAACTGACCTCATTATCTTGCCCCAAGCCCACCTCAAAACTGCCCCTCCTCCAACATTCTGCATTTTAGGCCTGAACCCTGGGACTTTTACTCCTCCTCACTGTCTATGTTCATTTCTTTGCCATATCCTATGGCTTCTACTTCCACAAAAATTTATGCAACTATGCAACATCTCCAATTACATGACAACCTCCTCCCCCCTCCCCTGTCACTTTAGAGTGACAGCATTTCAAAGACAGAAAGCACTTTTGTAGCTATCTAGTCCAACTCATATTTGATGAAGAATCCCCCTTCAACATACCCAACAAGTGGTCATCCAGGTTCTACCTGATGACCTCCAGTAAGATAGCCTATTCCACTTTTGTGTTGCTCTCAGTCAATAACAGGCATTTATTATGTGCCTACAATTTGCCAGGCTCTGTCTCTGAGAAAGACAAAAGACAATCCCTGTTCTTCAGGAGCTTGAAGTCTAATGGGGGAGACAACATGCATGCAACTATATACAAACACTCTATAGACCAAAGAGATTAGAGATAATCTCAGAGGGAAAGTGTGCTTATAAAAGAGGAGGAAAAAAACAGACTTTTATCTTTGATTATGGAGTCAGTAGAAAGCCACTTAAATATGAGGGTGGCATGGCCAGACCTATGCCAAGATCAATTTGACATCTAAGTGGAGGATGGACTGGAGTGGGGAGAGACTTAGGGCTGGAAGACCAATCAGCAGGCTATGGTAGTAGAACAGGTATGAGGTGATGAATGCCAGCACCAAAGTAGTGGCAGTAGCAGAGGAGAGAATGGACATATACAAGAGATACCATGAAGGTAGGATCAACAAGAATTGACAACTAATTGGATATGGGGGGACAGAGAGAGAGGAGTTGAGGATGATATCTAAGGTGTGAGCCTGGGTGGATAGTGGTACCCTCCACACTAATGCAGAAGTTAGGGAAGAGGGGAAGATTGGGGCAGGGCAGAAAGACTGAGTTCAGTTATAGACCTGTTGAGTTCAGGATGTCTATGGGATATCCAGTTCAAGTTGTCTAATAGGCTATAATAGATGTAAGACTTGAAGTCATAGGAGAGTGGTTAGGGCTGGAGAGAAAAATCTGAGAGTCATCTGCCAAGAGTTGATAAAATCAATTGATGAGATCACCAAGTGAAATAGTATAGAAAAAGAAGAAAAGAGGACACAGGACAGAGGCTTAAGGGATCCTCATGATTAGTGGATATAACCTGAATTAAGATCTAGCTAGAGAAACTGAGGAGCAGTCAGAGAGGTAGGAGGAAAACTAGGAAAGCAAAGTCTTGAAAACCTAAAGAGAAGAGAGTGTCCAGAAGAGAATGATCAACCATATCCGAGGCTGAAGAAAAGTCAAACAATATAATAGAGAAGAGACTGTTTAGCTTTAGAAATTAACTTTGAAGAGAGCAGTTTGTGTTGAATGATGAAATTGGAAGCCAGACTACCACAAGTCTCTCCCCACTCCAGTCCATCACTGATCAACTGTCAAAATTGTCTTCCTAAAGCACAGGTCCAACAAGGTCACCTCCCTACTCAATAAACTTCAGTAGCTCCTTATGACCTCCAGGATAAAATATAAAATCCTCTGTTTAGTGTTCAAAGCCCTTTATAACTTGCTTTCCCTTTTCCAGTCTTCTTACACTTTCAGGGATGGGGATCCTGCAACCTGAAGGCTACATTTAGCCATCTAGGTCCTTGGGGACAGCCTTTTGACTGAGTCCAAGTTTTACAGAACAAATCCTTTTATTAAGGGGTGAAGTAAGGCATACACTCTCCCCATACTCTGCAATTCGGTAACACTAGCCTCCTCACTGTTCTGTGAATAAGACACTCTGTTTCTCAAGTCTAGGTATTTTAACAAATATGGTTTCTCTGTAAACCAGGAGGAGCAAAAAAAAAAAAAAGAGAAAGACAACTAGAGATCAATTTTTAGGGTTTTTCTAATGAATATTAATGCAAAGATTTTAATAAAATACCAGCAAGAAGACTTCACAAAGATGATACAATATTACCAGGTAGGGTTTATATCAGGAATGTAGGGTTGGTTCAATATTGGATAAACTATACATAGAAATTGATTATATCAATAACAAAAACAGCAAAAAAGCATATGATTATACTAATTGATGCAGAAAAAGCTTTTCATAAAATACAAAACTGATTCCTATTAAAATCACTAGACAACATGGAAATAAATGGAACTTTCTCAAAATGATAACTAGCATCTATCTAAAACCAAGAACAAACATTATCTGTAGTGGGGATAAGCTAGAAGCCTTCCCAGTGAAGTCATAAGTGAAGCAAGGATGTCCATTATCACCATTATTATTCAATATTGTACTAGGAATGCTAGCAATAGCAGTAAGAGAAGAAAAAGAAATTAAATTAATTAGAAAAGGCAATGAGGAAACAAAACTATCTTTCTTTGCCAATGATATGATGGTATGTTCAGAGAACCCAAGAGAATCAACTAAAAAACAAATCAAAACAATTAACAACTTTAGCAAAGTTGCATGATACAAAATAAACACATATAAACCACCATCATGTCTGTATATTATCAACAAAACCCAGAAGGAAGAGATAGAAAAAGAAATTCCATTTAAAATAACTAGAAAACTTCATGCCAATAAGAATAGAGCTAAACAAGAGGAGCTCATGGGTTTGCCAAGACAGCACAATAAAATTGACAATACTACCTCAATTAATTTATTTAGTGCCACACCAATCACACTACCAAAGAATTAGCACAGTGCTTGGCATATAGTAGGCACTAGATAAATGTTTATTGAATTATTTTATAAAGCTAAAAATAATGAAACTTATCTGGAAGAATAAAAGGTCAAGAGAATCAATGAAAAGAACATGTGGAGGAAGGTGGCCTAGCCATAGCAGATCTCAAACTGCATTTTTTTTTTGCTCTTTGGTGAGGCACTTGGGGTTAAGTGACTTGCCCAGGGTCACACAGCTAGTAAGTGTTAAGTGTCTGAGGCTGGAGTTGAACTCAGGTCCTTCTGACTCCAAGGCCAGAGCTCTATTCGCTGTGCCACCTAGCTGCCCCCTCAAACTGCATTCTAAAGCAGCAATCTTCAAAACAATCTGGTATTGGCTAAGAAATAGACCAGTGGACCAGTAAAATAAACTAGCTACACAAAACGCAGGCATAAATGACCATAGTAATCTAGTATTTGACACATCCAAAAAACCAAGATTTGGAGCCAAGAATTCAGTATGTGACAAAAACTGCTGGAAAACTGTAAAGGAATCTGGCAGAAAGTAGCCATAGACCAACATCTTACATGTATGTATAGCAAGATGTGGTAAAACATGGGTGTGGACTTAAACACAAAGGGTGACATTATTAACAAATTAGGGGAACATGAATATTCAGATTTAGGTATCTGCTGCAATTTAAAGTGTGTATATTTCCAGCTAATTCCTGAATTCTTCCATTCTCACTTTCCCCCATGAACAGAGTATACAGACAGTTCTTACAGTACAGTAAGATTACGTTTCTTTCATGTACCTGTTGCCATAAATATTTTAGTTTTTATGAGAGCCTTTTTTTTTTGTCATTGACCTCCTTTATATACTGAAAAGTAGACTCTTTTGAGTCAAAGGATATGGGCATGGTAGTCACTTTCTTTGTGTAATTTTGTGTAATTTCAGCCTGGTTAGACCAATTCACAGATCTTCCAGTAGTCCATTACTGTTTCCACAACCCCTCCAACATGGATGAATCCTATTTTTTGACATTTTTGCTAGTGTTCTAGATGTGCAGCGAAATTTTAGAGCTGTTGATTGAGTTTCTCTTATAATTGGTGGTATGGAATATTCTTTCATATTTGTAATTCTTATTTTGAGGATTGTTTTTCTATGTTCCTTCTCCATTTATTGGCTATATATGAATATATCCACATTTATATGTGTGTGTGTCCATATGTATATATGCATGTATATGTTAATTCCCTTTATATGTTTGCCATCAGACCTTAGTCAAAGAGATGAGATACAAAAAAAAAATCCTCAAATTGATACTTTACCTTCTAATTAGCACTGTATTGATTGTGTTCATGGAAAAGTTAATTTCATATAATTGAATCCATGTACTGTCTTTCATAATCACCTCTGTCTCTTTTTTCACTAAGAATTCTACCCCTAGCTAAAGCTGTAAAAGGTAATTTCTTCCTTTTTGTTCTAATTTTTATCACTTCAGACTACAAGTGCATCCCAACCCCTCACATTACCTTGTACATATTTATATGTGTACATGTCTTTTATTGATGTACTGCCATTTTCTTGAGGGAAATGACTCCTTATTTTATTTGTAAGCCCAGAGATGAATATAATTCCTTTAATGTTGGAAGAACCTATTCAATGTTTATTAATTGATTGACTAGGCTACATATCTATTTGAAACTTATGGTGTATGCTGCTCTCTCTCGCGCTCTCTATCTCTCTCTCTCCCTCTCTCTCTCTCTCTCACTCCCTATCTATCTGTCTGTGTGTCTTAAACTCTTCCTATTTTCCCATCCATTCTTCCCAAGTATTTTACATATTTGTTTATTGGCCTACTGAGTTCACTTGTTTCTGATCAAAACACGTTTCCATGCCAGGATTCTGTTAACACTGGGGTTCTTTACTAGGGTGCAGGAACTTGGTGTTATAAATATTCTTATAACAATTTCATATAATGGGCTTCTTTTGTGATAATATTATTTTTATTTTGTGCATTTAAAACATGATTCTGAAAAGGGTCCCATTGCCTTCAGTACACTGATGGCCAGGGGGCCCATGACACAAGCATGGTTAGAAACTTTTGCTTTATTGAAACACAAATTTCCAGATAACAGATTTGTGGCCACTGAAAATGAAATGCAGCCTGGGACAAGGAGATTGATTCATGGAAGAAAGTTGGTCAGAACATAGGTATGATATTCAGAGACTCCAGGAAAACTCTCTTTGGCCTTCGACCTTACTTGTGTGATGATGTGGCCTCCCACTATACTTTGGTGAAAGACTACTCCTTTTCTGAAAAACCATGATCCAGTGAGCCAAAGGCTAACTCACTTTGCCTCTCTCCTGTGCTTCTCACCTGGTCCTTCTCTTCATCTTAGGTCCTTTTCCTCAATAGAACTGGTCCTTTCACTTCTGCCTCCAAACTTTCCCCATCATTGACATGTTTGTGCATCTCTGTTGCAGAGGGAACAGATCTGGCCCTGAGACTGGGGAGTGGAACGAGCACCTGTTCAGGGCGAGTGGAGATGCGAGTAAATAACCAGTGGGGGACAGTCTGTGATGACAACTGGAACAACAATGCTGGGGCTGTGGTGTGCAGGCAAGCAGGGTGCCCCTCTGCTATGAATGCCTTGCTTAGGGTTAATGCTAGTGATGACATTGAGCACATTTGGTTTGATGACATTTCCTGCAATGGGAATGAGTCAGCTCTCTGGGACTGCAAACATAGAGGATGGAAAAACCACGACTGTGGCCACAATGAGGATGTTGGAGTACTGTGTTCAGGTAAGGCCCCAGTTCAGGGGCACCTCATAGAAGGAAGGTGAGCTGTTTGGGGAAAAAATTGTTGGGAGATGATTTGTTCCTTCTCACAAGAAGGAAGGAAGGATTTAGCAAGTGCTTACTCTGTGAAAGGCACTGTATTAAACACTTTACAAATATGATCTTATTTCATCCTCTCAACTGCCTTGGGAGGGTTTTTTTTTAACTTGATTTAATTAAGGCATAAAGAGATTCAGTGACTTGTCCAGGGTCCCACAGATAGTAAATGTCTGAAGCTGGATTTGAATTCAGGTCTTCCTGAGTCAAGACCCTGTGCTCTCTCAACTGTGGAGAGTCACTTACCTGCCACAAGGTTGTGGATTTAAGATATAAAAAGAAACACATAATTCATAAGCTGAGACAAAAGGTTAGAGTATAAAGATATGATTGTGATGTCTTTAAACATCAAAATGGACATCACAGTATTCAGATCAATAACTTAACAAATATTAAGCAGCTATTTTGTGCAAGACATTATTGTAGGTGCCTGGGATAGTTCCTCCATAGAGATGGACCCTCCATCAGGGCAGTTCCCAATCCATTCACACCTTTCCATCCTGTGTGATTCCTGTCCAAGGCCTTGTACACATTCTTGTTAGATCAGCACTCTATGTAGACCTTCCTCTAAACCATCTCACCGTCGGTACATCATGGGGTCTGTCCATCTGGTAATCCCTTACTCTTTCTATATGGCAAGGGGCTGCATGAGGTATCAGGATTGGTAAGACAAAAATGAAAGAGTCCTGACCCTGAGAAATTTATAGTTGGGCTGAGAGAAAACGTGTACATGTTTAAGTAAGTACAAAATCATTTGGGGGAGCAGAAGCAGCACCCAAAGAGATAAGGAGAGGCCATATGGAAGAGATAGTGCTTGGAGGTGAGAAGAAAGTGCATTCCAGTCATGGAGGACAATTTGTACAAAGGCATGGAGACAGGAGATGAGGAACTCTTACACCCCTCTGTGGGATCATCGCCCACTTAAACAGTCTGCCTTTTGCTCTGCACATATACCTTGGCTTAGAGACCCTATTTAAGCCACTACTATCACCCCAAATAGGGTGGGTGCCTCAGCTTTCAGAATTGTTGATTGGTGTGTAGCTCTCCTCATGCACATGGCCAAATCTGCAAGTCTCAGAACTGACAGGGAGAGGGGACAGAACTATGTGGAAGTAACTATGACTACTTAGGGTCATTTAGAGACTATTAACATCTCTCTTTATCCATAAATTCTTCAGTAAAACTTGTACCTGCAAACCAATAGTGATTTGGAAGCCAGGATCAAGACAATTACCCACATCACTGATTTCTGAAACTCCTCCTTGGAAGATTGCCTTTAAAACTGTGCTTTATTTTTCTGCGTTAAGTAAGATGTGAGTGACACAAAGACAAAAATGAAACAGTCACATCAAGGAAATGAGAGAAGAAGGAAGAAAGAGAAGAAAGAAGGGAACACAGGAAGGATGGACAGACCGAAGGAAGAAAGGAAAGAAGGAAGAAACAAACATTTATTAAATTGCCAGGCATGATGCTAAGTGCTGGAGATATAATTACAAGCAAAACGAAAGAGAGCCCTGCCCTCAGGAAGCTTCCATTCTAATGGGAAAAAACAACATACAAAAGGAAAGTTAAAAAAAAAGGAAGAGAGATGAATGTATCCATTGCAGGAACATGATATTGAAATCCAGAAAGTCAAGAAAAAGGACAGGAAAGGAAAGAATGTAGGCAAGCCTGGGATCCTTCACAAGATAGAGGCTCTAGGTGGAGCTCACCAATGGGAGAACAAGGGTGGACTTTGCAGAGAGAGATTCCAGAGTGGCAATGCCAAAGGAGACAATAGGATATTCCATGGAAAGGAGGTTGTAGGTACTGAAGGAAGTTCCAGACTGAGACAGTAGTAGAGACATAAAGTACAGCCAGTTAATTTTTCAATACAGCATATCATATGCACAGCTTTGCAACATTAATTCTATTTGTGGTCTGTGTTGATGATGTTTACCAACTTCTGTTCTGGAAAGTAACAGGAAATTTATTCCTCCCTCTTTTCAGGCTGAGGATGTGGCATCTATAAATCTAGCAAACGCTCATACAATAATGCCCTTGGTAACTGGACTGTTTGCTCCCCTAGAACTGGGGTTAGAGTGAAACACAAACATTTTTGCCTGCTCTTATGTCTATCAGAGACTTCAACGTAGCTCCTTTAAACCTAGACAAATTTAACCAAAAGATAAAAAAGAAAAGTTCTGGATCTTAATAAACCATAAAATTTAGAGAGGAGATATCTATTGTGATTACTGAATGGTAATAGAAATGAATGTAAATACACTCAACTGTCTTGCTACCAAAACTGACCGTGTATGGGAGAGGAGATATACTAAGGATATATATTACTAATCACAATGAAATTAAAAAAAAAAATTGGTAATGACTGACTTTCAAAGAAAGCATTTAAAATAGTTGGAGACTAAATAATTCTAAAAATCTGGTGGGACAAAGAATATAATGCACAAACAATAGAAAACTGCATTAAAGAAAATGACAATGATGAGACAGTAATGTGATGAGACAGTTGTGGTGTGGGGCTAAATCCTTAGGAGAAATTTTAAATCTCTCAATGTTTTTATCAACAAAAGAGAGGAAGAACAAATCAATGAACTAAATGCACAATTTTTTAAAAATGATAAAAGAAATCCAGAATTAAACAAATTCTCCAATTAAAAAATTTAGAAATCCTGAAAACCAGAAAAGAGTTAATAAAATTTTTTAAAAAACACTTTAAGTTCATAAATAAAAGTTAGGTTCTTTTAAAAAAAAACCTTGAAAATAGATAAATACTTAGGTAATCTGATTTTTAAAAGAGGTAAAAGTCAAATTGTTCATACAAAAATAAAAAGGTGAATTCATCATAATTGAAGAAAAACTAAAAGAAATTATGAAATATTATTTCCCTACTATATGCTAACAAAACTAATAACTCAAAGGAAAATGATGAATATTTAACAAAAATATAAAGTGTCCAGATTGAGAACAGATGAAATAGATTTTTAAGTAATCCAATATTATAAAAAGAGATTGAATAAATATTTTCATCCCTATTCATCAGCAGAAACCTCTCCCTCAAAAGTCATATGGGATCTACGAAGCCCTCAAGTGATAGAAGCCAGTATGCCAACCATGACAATAAGGAGTTCTCAATATCACCTGATCATTTCCTCAAAAAATAGTTCTGTGTACCCCAAGTTGTTGGCAGAGTGTGGTGTTTCTGATGCCTCGCTGTGATGGAGGAGCAGTATAGATGGCCAACAGACCAGCTGAAGTCCCCAGGGTAGGGGTGCCAGGGTTTTGCATATTCTGCAGAGACTGGCTCCCTCATAGCCAATGTCTGAAATTCCTGTCTCTTTTACAGACCCATCTACCCTGAAGCTGAGGCTTCTTGGTGGAAGCAGCCGATGTGCAGGAGTAGTGGAGGTGAGAGTCCGTGAGGAGGTGGGAGTTGTGTGCAGAAGAAGCTGGTCACTGGATGAAGCCACTGTGGTTTGCAGGCAGCTGGGCTGTGGAGTTGCAGTCAGCATCCCCTTGGAGTACAATTTTGAATACATCCCTGAGCACATCTGGATCAGTGGAATCAAATGCTACGGAAAAGAGGAATCTTTTTGGGATTGTGGGAATTGGGAATGGGGAAAGATTTCCTGTCATGAGGATGAAAAGGCTGCTGTCATTTGCTCAGGTGAGTCTTGATCTGAGAGACCATTCCCACAGGAGGAATGTGGCTCCTAAAGATTCAGTTAGTAGGGGCTCGAGGCCCCCACTGGCCACTTGGGGCAAGGTTCTTCCCAGGACCTCAGCTTATCCCAATCATCCTGATTCTGAGCAATTCTGAATAATCTCTGGACCCTCTTTCCCCTGGTCCTGTACCTTGTCCTTCAGCCCCTACCCCATAGTCATCACCTTCTTAATGGCTTTAGCAACAGAACAAGCCTGAGTCATCAATCTTATATACGCAGAGATATTAGCCAGGCTGTGAGTTGTTAGGGGCCTGGAGGAAGTCATTTAGTAAAAGAGACCTCTGTGTGTGTGTGTGTGTGTGTGTGTGTGTGTGTGTGTCTGTGTCTGTGTGTCTGCGTGTGTATCAAGCATCCTATCTCTGGGTTCCTGGTCTCAACACAGTCCTAGGCACCTGGGACCCAGTCAGGCTCAAATTATAAACCTTAGTCTTTTCTTCCCAGGACAAGGCCATTTTGCCAAGCAGACCTTTTCTTTCTATCTATCCTGCCCTCAAAACATGGAGGAAAAAGCTGTGTTTGTACTACTCTTTGGAATGGTTTCACAATTAGCAAGATTCAGTACCAATATGTCAGGAAACAACTAACCCTGCCCATGTCTCAGCCTTTGCTTCACTTGGCCTCATTTCCTCCATCTTGCTCCATTTCCAGTTACCCAGAGAAACAGATACTCCCCCGTCCCCAGAAAGGGAGGATGAAAGCACTCAGGTACACAGACTTATAAAGAGGTCCCCCAAAAGAGAAGTATCAGGACTCCCGGAAGAGACACCCCCTCCCATTCACAGACTTCCACACCCATTGTCAGTGATACAGGCATGTAAGCATTCAGCAGCAATGCCAGTGCCCTCCACAAGGACATGCCTTCATTTTCTGGTCAGTGCTTCTGATGGACCTCTTTCAGGTGTATTTCAAAGTTCACTCCATAAGCACCAATAATATGTGGATAGGACTGGTTTCATTTTGTGCAATAATCATTGATCCTTAGGCATCCTGAAGACTGACTCTATGACTGATGCAGACCTTTAGAATTCCTAGTCAATGGTACCTAACAAGTCAGAGGAAAGACAGGGGTGTGGGTCCTTAATGAAGACTTAGGGAGCTACACTGAACTGATAACCACAGAAAAATACCTTCTACCTCCATTGGTCCTGAGCCTTGGTCAAAACAGTTCCATCAATAAGGCATAGGAGCCATCAGTGGTATTGGTCCATGAGACTGGTCTAAGTTCTTTTAGGTTTGGGGGACAGGAACTTCATGGCATAGTCATCACAAGGATTGACCAATTTAATGGGGATGGTAGGCAAAGGTTACTGAGGTAACCCTGGGCCTCTGGACTCTGATGTAGGGCACAGATATGTCTAACCCTTCAAAACAACCATAAGTAACTTGATTCCCTCTGACAGCAATAACTAGTCTTCATCTCTTGTCTTAGAGGGGAGGGCCACTTGCTAAGGCCAGTTTGCTGTATGTTCACAAAACTCTTGACCATTAGGAATGGCACTCCTTCATCTATTTGTTCTTGGCAGCCTAGTGGGTGCATAGATCAAACATTAAGTTATACTAGCACACAATGAGAGAATACGGTTGTATATAGAAAATCACAAGAAGTGTGGAAAATATCTGGGTATAGGATGTCTCAAAACCATGGATAGTGAGATGGATAGGTAGGTAGGTAGAAAGATAGACAGACAGACAGACAGACAGACAGACAGACAGACAGACAGACAGATAGATAGATAGATAGATAGATAGATAGATAGATAGATAGATAGATGATAGATAGGTAGATAGATAAAGTAGGTCAAAATATAGTCATGTTAATTCTCTCAGCCTCAATTTTCTCAACTGCAAAATGAAAGTAATAATTCCTGTAGTACCACCTACTTAGGATTGTTCTGAGGTTCCAATGAGAGTGTGCATATCTAGATCATGCTAATTAATGCTACTTAAATGTCCATTATTGTGACTACTGTTATTACCAAGGTGTACTTAGTATAAATTAGCTGTCACCAAAGGAAAAGAGGCAGAAGACAGACAGTCCACATGTGCTGGACTGTCATCATGCCTAACAAAGGTTAACCAGCACTTCTGACTGGGCAGTATGGCCAGTAAGTCCCACCTTGGACCAAGAACTAGGTTTAGTCCCTAAACACCCAAACCTACTGATCGCCTTGGCAACTGAAGATTGGTGGATGCATCCCTTCAGACATCACCGGATGTTGGCTGGGAGGCTGGACGTGGAGTGAAGGTGGGCTGTGCTCATACCTGACTGTAGATATTGAATAGCTGTGTGATCCTGACAAGTCATTTCATTCCTCTCTATCTGTTTCCTTCTCTGTAAAATAGCAGTAATAATATCTCCTACTGCACAGAGTTTGCTGTAAGGATCAAGTTAGATATCCTATGCAAACCAATACTTGTTACAATTAAAATGTGGGGGGAAGGGAACCAGACTGTGGAGTGCCTTCAGAGTTGGGAAAAGGAATTCATAATTTACCTAGTTGACAATAGCAAATTAGTCTATTTTCTTATTGATTCTTCCATTCCAAGAGATTTCCTGTACTAGGAGTTCGGTGTTTGGTACAAGTGGTGTCAAAGTCTACAGGATAGTCAGAGCCTTGAGGTCTCAAGCCATGTGTTCTCCACAATGTCTTGAATGAAGCAGGTGATTGATGCATGTGTATAGAAGAAATGGGCTTTCAAGGAAGGCCTCAGTGAACAGCATAGGCTCCACCGGCCCTCAGAGGCATTGCTCCCAGGATAACAGCAACTAGGGTGGGCTAGGGGGAACTGTGGAGAGAATTTCCTGGACCAAGCCCACTGGGCTTGGAAGATAGGAGCAGGGGTCAGAAAAAGATGTGTGCTTTTCCCCAGCAATGCAGACTAAGGTGGACTGAGGTCTTTACTGAAGGTTTCTTGTCTTGCAGACCACATGCAGCCACGACTGAGAGGAGGAGACTTTGCCTGCTCTGGGAGAGTGGAAGTGAAGCACCGAGGCATCTGGGTGTCTGTCTGCAGTCCTGACTTTTCTTTGCAGACGGGCACTGTGTTGTGCCGGGAGCTGCAGTGCGGCGCCCTAGTCTCCGTCCTGGATGGGGCTCACTTTGGAGAAGGAGGTGGCCAGGTCCTGCCTGAGGAGCTACAGTGTCAAGGCAATGAGTCCCATGTCACGTTGTGCCCTACAGGGCCCATTTACAGCAGGAAATGCAGCTCTGACAGGACCATTGGCATCATCTGTTCAAGTGAGAGTCAGAGAACAAATTGCCTGCCCTCCACCCAAGCTTCCAGGGCCGTGGGCTCTTCTCTAAAGTTTCATCTTCTCCCCAGGGTACAGAGATTTCCAGCTGGTGGATGGCGACTCCAAGTGTGAGGGGCGTGTAGAGATCCAGGTCCAGGGGGTCTGGGGAGCCCTCTGTGGCTCCCACTGGGATCTGGCCAATGCCAATGTTCTCTGCAAGCAGCTTGACTGTGGAGTCGCTGTCTCAGTTCCCACAGGAGAGCATTTTGGAAAAGCAAGAGGTGCTGTATGGGGGCATGCATTTCATTGCTCAGGGACTGAGCCTTACCTGGAGACTTGTCCAATGACTGCCTTGGGAGCCCCACTTTGTTCCCCTGCAAATATTGCTTCTGTGAACTGCTCAGGTAAGAGAAGAGAACCTTCCATTTGGGGTCCAGGGGCAGAGGGAGACCAGGCCACCTTCCTGGGAGACCTGTCACTGAGAGCAGGCAAATCTGAGAAGAGTGTGTGTGGTCAAGGAGTTCCATGGGAAGGAGTCTCAAGACAGCCTGTTCTTCCCTCTCTCTCTGGGTCAGTGAACAAGTAGAGGGACCCCAGAGGACAAGGACTTGCCTTTGGGGCTGGACCTTCCTCTACATCTAATCCAGCCACCCCATCTAGCCCTACACACACACATACACACACACACACACACACACACACACACACTCACACACGATCTATCTGCCTTCCCCTCCCCTGTATGTGCAAATGGAGCTGAGAGGATTTGTGTTTGCAGGAAACCATTGGGATGCTCAATTCCAGTGCCAAGGTGCCCAGGCTCAGTCACCTTTATGCTCAGGTGAGAATTTCAAGCAGCATCAGGAAACTTCAGTTTTTGCTAGTGCAGCCTAGATTCATAAGCATCCAGTTTCACAACGTCCAACTCCCCCCCTCTCTCCTCAGTCTGCTCCTGGCCCTAGTTCTCTTCATAGCCAAATAGTTGCTGAGTTTTGCAGGCTTTCCATTAGCTCACTTCTATCCTCTTCTTTCCATTCAGAATGGCAACTTCCTTAGCTCAGGCTCACTTGTCACTTCTCACTTGGATTCAAGTAGCTTCCTGTCTTTCCCCTCACCAGCACATCCTCCACCCAGCTGCCAAAATCATCTTCCTAAGGCACAGACTTGACCCTTTCATTTCCCTGCTCAAAAATCCTGCATGGTTCCCAGTGGAGCCTTCAGGATAAAAAACAAACTCCTCAGCTTGATTTCAGGTCAAGACTTTCTGGAATTGCTAGGTCCTGCCTGCCATTTCTCACTTCCCTTCATGGGTGCTACATCTCTGGTCTTCACACCTTTTCACAAGCTGGCCCAAACCTGGAATATTCTGCCTTATCACCTCCACCTCTTTACAATCTCTAGCTTCCCTCGAAGCAAATCTCTCATACTGCCTTGGACAGAACCTCTAATTTAGAACACCCCCCCAAGTATCTGACTGACAGTGGCCTGCTGCATTTCCCTCAGTAGAAGAGAAACTCCTTCAAAGCAGTTTTGTTTTATAACTTGTCAGTATCAGCATAAATCATAATGCCTTGTGCATTGTCCCCACTTCCAAAAGGCTTGGACCAGATTGCTTCTCAACAGACATTTCTCCCCGTAGAGCTGAGACAGATCAACCTTGTGAATGGTGGAGATCGCTGTGCTGGAAGAGTTGAGGTCTACCATGAGGGTGCCTGGGGCACCATCTGTGATGACTCCTGGGACCTAAATGATGCCCAGGTGGTATGCAGACAGCTTGGCTGTGGAGTGGCCCTCAATGCCACCATCTGTGCTCATTTTGGAGCAGGAACTGGGCCCATCTGGCTGGATGATATGAACTGCTCTGGGAATGAATCCAGTGTGTGGCAATGTCCCTCAAGAAACTGGGGGAAGCATGAATGCAGGCACAAGGAAGATGCAGGGGTGCTCTGCTCAGGTCTGTTCTGAATATACCTATTAAATATCCAATTAAAGGGGAAGGGACTGAGGGAAGATCAAGACAAGTGAGTAAGAATCACCTGAGAGAAGGCCTTGGGTGAGGTCAACATAGGGCTGTCCAGACAGGGGCATCCTGAGTGGCACAAAGAGTCCTTGGAATATAGATTTGCCTTGTCTGTGCTAAATTGTTTAGTGGCTCAGGGTCACTGACTCTTGTAGGTAGCAGGATCAAATTCAAGAAATGTGCTTTATAAAAAACATGAGACACCAAAGTATTTTTTAAAAGAATATTTTATTTTCCCCCAATTACATGTAAAAACATTTCTTTAAGTTACAAATTCTATCCCTTCTTCCCTCTCCTACCCCCCTCTCTGAAATGGTAAACAATTTGATATAGTTTATACATGTGCAATTATGTAAAATATTTCCATATTAGTCATTTTGTTCAAGAAAACAGAAAGGAAAGAAGGAAGGAAAAAGAAAGAGAAAAATAGTATCCTTCAGTCTGTATTCAGACAACATCCATTTTTTCTCTAGAGTTGGATAGCATTTTTCATCATGAATCCTTTGGGATTGTCTTGGATCATTGTATTGCTAAGAATGTCTAAGTCATTCACCTCTGATCATCACACAATATTGCTGTTACTGTCTAACAGTACAATTATTATCTAACAGTATATTGTAACTGTCTGCTACAGTGTTCTCCTAGTTCTGCTCACTTCACTTTCATCAGTTCATGTACATTTTTCTAGGTTTTTCTGAGATCATTCTGCTTGTCATTTCTTATAGCGCAATAATATTCCATTACAATCATATACCACAACTTGTTCAGCCACTCCCCAGTTGATGGGCATCCCCTCAATTTCCAATTCTTTGTTACCACAAAAAGAGTCACTATAAATATTTTTGTTCAAATGGATCCTCTCCCCCCCAGCCTTTTTTATCTGTTTGGGATACAAACCTAGCAGTGATATTGTTGGGTCAAAGGGTATGCACAGTTTTTTAGCCCCTTGGGCATAGTTCCAAATTGCTGTCCAGAATTGTTGGATCAATTCACAACTCCAACAGTACATTAGTATTCCAATTTTCCCACATCCCCTCCAACATTTCTCATTTTTCTTTTTTTTTTTGTCATATTAACCAATCTGATAGGTGTGATGTGGTACCTCAGAGTTGTTTTAATTTGCATTTCTCTAATCAATAGTGATTTAGAGCATTTTTTTTCATATGACTATATATAGCCTTGACTTCTTCATTTGAAAACTTCTGGTTCATATCTTTGACCATTTAACAATTACACCAAAGCTTTTTGTACAAATATAAAATCTTCAAAGAATGAGGTAAGATATGAATGGAACCAGGGGATGATTAAGATGATCCAACAAAGTTAGGAAAAGGAAAGATCTTCTGGGTTTTTTTTAACAGAGGAAACTAGAGAGATTTACGTATTGAAATTGTCTTTTCTAGTTGATGGATTTCAGTCTGCTCAAGTACCATTTAGCTACTGCAGCAATGGTGCAGTAAGGGGTCATAGGGGGCTAAGAATCACACAGACTTTGAACTATCTATCTCAAGTATATCATGACCATTGGTTTAGCCAAGTGTAAGGTCTTTGTCTAATAGCCAAAGACTCCAAACACTCCCAGAGCATCTAGACTCCATCCTCATTGACTCACTGGGAATGCAATCAGAAGACACAAAAGAAGCTGTAGTGACATAGAAGGTCCACTCACACTTAAGGAATGACTGGAATGAACTTTATCCAGTGCCATGAGGTGAGAAAAGCAATAATGTCATGAGGCCCTTAGTTCTCAGGCAAATATACAAGGCTCCAAAGTGTAAGCAAACTGACCATCATGAAGACAGTCACAGCTCTACACTCTGAAATCAACTATGGAGGATGAAGTGGGAAAATTATCTGACAAAATACCATATCCTCCAAACAATGTCAATGTAAACCTGAATATTCTGTAATTTTATTGTAAAGGTAGACACAGGGCTGAGCCTCAAAAGCTTTGTCGGAAAGTGAGGTCCTGCATTTTAAAAATGCAATGCAACAATTGTTTATAGATGACCAGGAAGAAACATGATTTTAGAACATTATATTTGTGGGGGCAGGTGTCACTGTTATGGAAACACATCGCTGTCCTCCCTGTCCTATCTTCTCTGTGGAGATGTAATCAACCAGATGCTGTTACAATTAGCTGTCTTTTGGCTATATAGCTTACTACAATGGCTCCTCAGGTCCAGGAGGTGCCCTTTTCTGCTGACTGTTCATATCAAATGAAAGTGGGGTATTTGGGTGGCACAGTGGATGGAGCACTGGGCTTGGAACCAGAAAGACTCTTCTTCAAGAGTTCAAATGTATCCCAAGACACTTACTAGCTGTGTGACCCTAGGCAAAACACTTAACCTTGTTTACTTCCATTTCCTTATCTATAAAGTGAGATGGAGAAGGAAATGGCAAACTGCTCTAGTATTTCTGCCCAAAAAACCCCAAATGGGGTCATGGAGAGTCAGACACAGCTGAAAAATGACTTAACAGCAAATGAAAACTTAGGAGTATTACTCCAATAGCTATTGGTTCTTAGGAAAATTCCTACCATTAAGGCTGAGGTTTGGCACTCTGGCTCTTATTTTTGTACCATATTGCTCTTAAAAATCTTGGGTTGGTACAATTTATAATTCACTGAAACTTCTTCATAGAATTAAAAACATGCCAAATTAGTTTTAAAAAATCAATTTATATCTTTGTTCAAAAACGTATGTCTGTCTTTGCAAATGACTGTAAGCAGATTACAATAAATCCTTTACTTTAATCACCAAATATATATATATATATATATATATATATATATATATATACGTATATATATATATATATTTACTTATATATATATACATACATATATATATGCATATATATATATATTAGTTTATACGTATATAATTTTATGTTTATCTTTAGCTAACCTCTGCCCTCTTTGTGGTTGAGACCAAAATTGGGATAAAGGAAATGTTTAGGTTTAAAAAAGCAAGCGAAATGTACTACAGTGTATAAAGAAGGGAAGTAGAGGGGAGAACAGACCCTCCTATGCCTATTTATAAGTGGAGAGCAACAACTACATTTGAAATGAAACAGGTTTTTCAGCTTTTCAATAACAATCTATTTTCATCATCGCCATAGAACTACCACATATGGGCTCTGCCACTTAAATACTTATATGAGGAAGGGGCAGAGTGGGTGGACTGACTCAAATTTTTGTAAGTGAGTACTGACAATCCCCTCTCAGGCAAATGAATAGACCAGGAATGGGCTTTTCCAATGCTTCTTCCCTCTTGAATTTTCTCCTATATGTCTGAATACTGGTTCTCAGTGTCCTTTTCTTGATGACTTCCCATTCATCTACATGAAAGGGACTTAGAATCTGAAAACTGGGGAAGACTGAATTCAGAGATATTTGGTAGTTGTTGGGAAAATAACAGCACCAGTTACATCACAGAGAAAATTTATGTGGGGCAAATTAGGTCTCTTTGTGAGCAATTTCCTCCAAATATATAAAGCAGTAAATGAAAAGGAAAAAAAAGAAAGAAGAGTTAGTCTGGATCACAAGTGATTAATACATTAGGAGTCATATGATAGATGATTTTCTGGCCAAGGACACTGAGAATGAGGGGTTGGACAGGTAGAAGAAAAACCAAATGAAGAGAGTGTTGCAAAAACCCAGAAAGGAAAGAGTATCTGGGTCAGCAGCATCAACTGAGGTAGAGAAGGGTGGGAAGAAAGAAGTTTGAGAAGAGGCTGCCATATTTGGTGGTGAAGAGCTCAGTGACCACTTCAGGGACTGATGAGGTCCAAGCCAGACTGCAAAGTGCTAAGAAGGGAGGAAGCAGAGATAACAAATGTAGATGATAGGGTTCTCCAGGAATGTGACTGACATTAAAAAAGTGAAATGAGATAGAGGATGACACCTGAAAGGCATTTTAAGGTCTAGAGAGAATTCTTTTTAAAAGATGAAGTAGACGTGAGTAAGACTGTAGGCAATAGGAATGGAATTAGAGATAAAGGAGATTTTGGGGGAACGGAATAAACATTTAGATAGCACCTACTATGTGTCAGAAACTATTCTAAGCATTTTTTTTCTTTTTACAAACATCTTTTCATTTCATCCTTACAACAACCTTGTGAGCTAGGTGCTATTATTACCCCCATTTTACTGAGGCAAACAGAGGTCAAGTGATTGGCCAAGGATCACCCAGCTAGTAGCTGAGGTCACATTTGAACTCAGGTCTCCCTGACTTCAGGCTCAGCAGTCTATTAACCATACTACCTCACATGCCTCTATACTGAGGAGTTGAGACAGAATAAAAGAGAGAGAGGAGATGATTATAGGGGGTATAGGGAGAAGATGGGAAGACATGTCAGCAGACATATTTGTAGAAGGGTTGGGCCATTTTCTTGGTGGTCTTTTGTTCATAATACTGAATATGGTTTTACACACAGCCACATACACACATGTGACAGACAAGTATACATATGTATCTCTCTATATATATCTGTATCTATCTGTCAAATACACCAACATGTAAGCATACACATATATAGCCTACATATTAACATGTAGATATGGCTAACACATAAAAAGGAAATAATCATGTTCAATGGCCATTTGACACATGGTCATTGTAGTGAGAGGCATTTCACCAATTTGCCTCCTACCTTTGTCTCCTTCTTCCTCAGACACTTAGGGTTTTCTGCTATAATACAAAGAATATTGAAGAACCAGGAAGTCTGTTCCCATTAGTGTCATTAATGATCTGTGCAACCTTGTAACAAGTTCCTGAAAAGGGATAATTTCCTTGGGAAATGCCTGTGTCAAATTGGTGACACGTTGGTGGGGAGGCACGCAGAGGGCCTTGGCATGAGTAATGCCATCTTAGAAATGGCCTTGTTTCTACTCAAAGTGAAGGGTCCAGGTATTCATCTTGGATCTAGTTTCTGGGTACTCTTCCAATCCCTATCTTTGCTACTAGGGTTAATGGGCAGAATTATTGATGGCTAATCAATGATAAAGTTCTGCAGCAAGTCTACCAGCAAGGTTAATGCAAATAGAAACTAGAGTTTGAGGGGCAGGGACAGCTCAGGGTATAACAGAGCCCTCCAAGCACTCTCTCTCTCTCTCTCTCTCTCTCTCTCTCTCTCTCTCTCTCTGTGTGTGTGTGTGTGTGTGTGTGTGTGTGGTGTGTGTGTGTCTGTAGAGGAGTTGCAGACTCTATTTTGTAAAGGAGACTCCCTATGCTGCATGCATTTTCTGTGTTTGTGATGAAAACATCTCCTGACTTGTATATATGCAAACAAGTTTTTGCCATGATAGCAGCAAATGAAAAGGTGAAATGTTTTATTTTTCATATATCTGTGGCCTATTACTGTCCTACCTCGAGCCTTGCTGACTTTGGTTCCCATGACAAACACAAGAGTAGCCAATATCTAGGAACTTCTGTCTGAAGTTAGCCCCAGGTCACATAGACACTGAGGACCCTGGGGAGAAGGATTTGGATTTGGTGTTGTTATGGCCTTGGTGACTTCTCCTGCAATCCCAGGATGAGTGTATCCCAAAAGAGTCTGAGAGGAACCTATCCTGTGGACCCCATTGAAGTGGAGGGAGGGAATCCCCTAACATTTCATTCACCAAGAAACTTTAACTGCCTTTCTCTGTAGAGGTCATGTCTCTGAGGCTGCTCAGTGAGACCAACACCCAGGTTTGCGCAGGACGACTGGAAGTCTTCTACAATGGGACCTGGGGCAGTGTTGGCCGATATAACATGACTGCAGTCACTGTGGGAGTGGTCTGTAGGCATTTAGGCTGTGGGGACAATGGGATTCTTGACCCTGCTCCTACAAACAAGGCAAGTTCCAGAACCATGTGGGTCAGTGGTGTTCAGTGTCCTAAGGGATCTACCTCCTTCTGGCAGTGTCCATCAGATCCATGGGAGAAGAGACCATCCAATGCAAGAGAGGAGGCCTGGATCACGTGTGTTGGTGAGTGTCCCTTAGTCTGTACACAGATTTCAAGGAATCTATTCTATTGCTAATCCCATTTGATCAATTCAAATCAATTCAACAAACATTGAACATGCATCATCAGTCACCCAATCAAAAAGTATGTATCAGGATCCTCCTATGAGCCAGGCACAGTGCTAACTTGTAACTTGGGAGACAAAGGAAGATTGAAAACAGTCCCTGTCCTTAAGGAACTCACATTCTGATTGGGGAGACAGCACATATAAATCAGATAATGCAAACTAATGACAGAGTAGATGAAAGACAATCATATGGGGTATGGTACTAGCAGCCGGGCACTTGAGCTGAATCTTCAAAGAATTCAAGGATTTCAAGAGTCAAAGTCTGGGAGGGAAAGCAATCCAGACACAGGGAGCAATCAGTGAAAAGGTGGGAGATGAAAGATGGGAGTGCATGAAGGAGGAATAGTGAGTAGGCCAGTCTGGCCAGATCATAGAATGAGTAGAGAAGAATAAAGTATAAAAAGACAAGGAAGGGAATTTCTTTAAATATCAAAGGACCTTGTATTTGAACCTAGAGATAATAGTGAGTCACAGCACTTTATTGAGCAGTGGGGGTAGGGAGTGGATTGACATGATCAGACCTACACTGTGGGAAAATCATTTTGGCAGCTGATTGTAGGATGAATTCGGTGGTGAGAGTAATTAGAAGATAATTATAATAGCCCAAGGGATAGGTGATGAAGGCCCAAATTAAGATACTAGTTGTGTTGGTAGGAACGGCATAAGTGAAAAACAGAGAAATTACAAGATTTGGTAATTGATCGGCTATGTGGTATATGTGTGTGTGTGTGTGTGTGTGTGTGTGTGAGAGAGAGAGAGAGAGAGAGAGAGAGAGAGAGAGAGAGAGAGAGAGAGAGAGAGAGAGAGAGAATCACAGCAAGGATGACATCCAGTAGCTCAGGAGAGAAACTGGGTCTGTATAAATAGATCTGAGAATAATTTACGTAAAGAAAGTCTTCGAACCCATGGAAGCTGATGAGATCATCAAGTGAGAGAGTATGTAAGGAAAAAGAGGGCTCAGGATCTTAGGGAAACACCCACAGTGGGTGAATACCTCATGGATGAAGATACAGCAAAAGAGCCTGAAGAATTATCAGAACAGAGAATCAAGAGGGAGCAGTCATGCAAACTCAGAGAGAAGAGAAGGTTGTCAAAAGTGTCAAAGGCTGAAGACTGGATAAGGAGGCTCAATTTAGCAATTAAGAGATAACTGGAGACTATGCAGAGAAAATTTTCAGGGGAATGAGGTCAGATTATAGGGTTTTAGAAGAGAATGAGAAGAGAGTCATTCAAGGCAACAACTGTGGCCAGGCTTTTCCAAGAGATGAACTGCAAAGGGGAGGATAACATTAGGACAATAGCTGGCAGGCATTGTATGAACAAGTGAGGGGTTTTGTGGAGAGAGGGACATGGGCATATTTGAAGGGAGAAGAGAAGTAGCCAGTAGATAGGAAGGGAGTGGATATTAGCAGAAGGGTGATAATGGGGGCAACTTGCTGGAGAAGACAGGAAAGACGTGATGGGCTCAAAGGTGCATGTGAAGGGATTTGCTTTGGCAAGTGGAAGGGGTCCCACATCATCAGAGAAGAAATTGAAGAAGGAGATAGTTGGAAAAGATATTTGAATGATGAGGATGAAAGTGAAAGAGGAAGCTCTCAGTGAATAGCCTCAATTTTTTTTCAGTAAAGTATGAGACCAGTAAAGAGGGTAGGGAGAGGGTGGTATGGTAATCTGGAAGGGGAAAAAAGGTTTGGCTTAGCTGCTGAAGTAAACAGGAAAGGGTTAGGGTTCAAGCATAGTAGTAGGATCATCTTGTTGCAGTAAGGGTCTAGTTGAGATTTATGTTATTAAGATGGCATAAATTTGTAGTGAGACCAGTGTTATGATTCCTCCAGTTCCACTAAGCTGCATATGAGTAAAAGTTAAGAAGGTGAATGGTAGGAGTCATCCAAGATTGGTATTTGGCAAGATGTGATGGATGATAATTGAGCAAGGGATTCAAGTGCAGAGGGTAGGACATAGTTGAACTGAGTCTCCAAGAGATCAACATTGGAAAAGTAGGAGAAGGAAAGTAGCTGTAGGAGAGGGTCTGACCTGAGATAATCCTAGTAGATGATGAGATTGCAGGTTATAGTGGGGACAAAGAGAAGGCTTATTGAGAAAAAAATAATGCACAGGGTGAGATGGAAAGATAAAGGAAATTCATCATTCTTGAGCATGTAAATGAAACGGTCATCAGTGATGGCAAGATCAAGGATGTGACCATCTTTGTGTTGTGGTTGAGGTGCAGTAGAAGAGTAGGTCATGTACAGACTGAGATATTGGAAATTTAGGGTCTTTGAAAGAGCAGCAAAATATCAATGAAGAAGAGAAAGATTGCAAGCCAGACAATAATCTTGTGAGGAAGAAAGGTGAATGTTTAAGAGGCCAGTATATAATAGCTATGAGAATATAAGCTGGGAGACAATGGTATGCTAGGATTACTCAGCAAGTGGGAAAAAATAGATCTACAGAATCCTTTGTCCAATGACCTGAGGGAGATGGGTGACAGATCTGTGGCCACACAGAGACTGCATTCATTTTCCTATTTCATGTTAGGAGTGCTCAGTAGAAGAAATAGACCTTTTTGAGATAGGACTAAGAGTGTCTAAAACCAAGAACCAATATTATATACTTTATATACAATGAAGAAATACTGGTGATATTTCCAATGACATCAGAGGTAAAGAAAGGATGACCAAAACTGGTCCAAAAAAAGAGATAGAAGTCACCTGCCCCTTTGTTGAAGAGATAGGGAACGATCAATGTAGAATCCTACATGTAATGTCAAACATTTTCAATGTGTTGGTTTGTTTTGCTTAACTTTTTCTTCTTCTTTTTTTTTTATTCCTTGTTTTGTGGAATTGCTCTCCAGAAAAGGAATTTGTAAAAGGAAGGCATTTGGGGAAAGGACACATGGGAAAATGAAAATAACACAAAAACAGAAGGGATGAGTAAAATTTTATTTTAAACATCTATAGCCAAAAAAAGAGCTTGAATTTCAGCCTAGAAACACTGAAAGCTCCAAGTCTCATGCTGTCCACCATGCTTTACTGATTAAGAAAGGTGACAAATAAGAAACATCCCTTGAATTTTTCAATCAAGAGTGCTAGGTGACTTTGGAGGGATCACTCTTCATTTAGTGGTGGGGAGATGAAAGCCAGATTGCAGGAGGCTGAAGCTATGGAGGATCTATATGGTGAAGAAATGGAGACAATGAATATTGACAGACTTTTTCACATAATTAACAGTGAATGAAAAAGCTCTCTTTTGGGGTAAAGGAGCCCTGTGCATGTCTGTTGGCATTAAAGAAGGAGCCAGGAGAGATGGAGACATTGAATATGAGTGTTGCTGTGATGTGAAGGAGGAAAGGGGATGTCACCAATGGAGCAAGTCCCTCAAGGAGTTGCAAGGGAATAATACCAAAGACCAAAGGGAGCAGGCTGGCTTTGGCAGGGAGGCAAGCTACCTAATCTTTTTCATACTAGAACAAAGGTGAGGAGAAAGAATAATGTTGAATTTTTTTCAACTCCATTCTACTTTTACCTGACCCTGATAGCCTTAGGATATATGACCAGCCTAAGACATTGGCACAGAACAATTCTTTCTTCAGAAGAAGCTAAGCTTAATTCCTGGTTAGCCAGAACAAGTGAAAATAAGCGAAAATAAGACTACCTGCAATGTTAACAATACCTATCTACATACAAATCAGTAGAGAAGCTTATTCCTCTCCTGATAATGGAATTTATTTTAATTGCTTCTTGTATTATGGTGAGAATACACATTACTATTCAGTCAGAAGGTGCATTTCCCACCACTTGTGGTTATAGCTCAGGAAGATTCCAAGTGGGAGTAACTGGGAGAGGGGATGGGGCGGTCCATGCTGTTTACACACCAGAGGAGGCGACCCTAGTGTTTCATTCTATGCTGGCTATCTGATCACTTAAATTAGTAGTATGTGGGGCTGCACTTCAGGGTTACCGCTGCCTTGATTTCTGATTTCTCCTCATCTGTCCCCAGAAAGAGAGAGCACTAGAAAGGGGCTGGGGTTCCAAGTTAGTCATAAAGCCTCCCTTGTTGATCAGGATGAGCTCTGCAATCGATCAAGCGTTTATGGATGCTCAGCAATCAGTTTATTGGTATCGAGCACACAGATGGAAATAATGTGAAGTTCCAAATAACCTAACTAGGGGGAGGGGAGAAGGTGTCCGTCTCTGTGTTCAGGTTGGAAAGGCAATCAGCATCCATTTGGAGGTTTCAAGAAAATTTCTAAGAATTTTCCAAATTTGGGAAGCCTCAGTTTCAAATTCAAGTCTTTTGATCTCTCATGTAAATGACTATGAAGGGGAAAGGGTAGAGGAAGAAAACTAAAACCAAGGGGTTAGGTCAATGTCTCTCCCCACCTAGTCACATTCTTGGCCGTATTCCTGCCTTTATTACATATATCAGCCAGGTTTAGTGACACACACCTGTAATCTCTGCTACAGAGGAGGCTAAGTCTGGTGGATTGTTTGAACGTGGGAAAGTGGAGTTAAAGCATATCAACTTTCCACATTAAATCTGGCACCAGGTTGCCTGAGGAGGAGCAACTGCTTCCAGAGTGAAACAGAGCAGGGCAAATTATCTGTGCCAATTAACATTGGGTTTAGGCCTGGAAATGGCCGCTGTACTTCCAGCCTGAGTAGGAGAGGGAAACTGGTTCAAATAGACAGATATGGACAGACAGACAAACAGATAAAGAGACATAGAAAGGTGATAGATGAATAGATATATAGGTCAACATCTGTTTATATCTCTAGCTTATCTATCTATATCTATCTCTAGGTCTTTCTCTACATTGACATATATATCCATCTGGGTAACAAGATGTGGTTCATAAAGTCAAGCTTGCCTAGTAGCTTGGCATGGTCTGTGCTAAATGAATCTCTGTTCTGCTGTCAGCTAAGCCTTAAGGATCACAGGACCAGAGATTTAGAGCTGGTCCAACCTCACCATTTTACAAGGGAAGAAATGAAGGACCACAGAGGCAGAAGTGATTATAGCTAGTAAGCAGCTGAGCTGGGATTCAAACCCAGGTTTCCTCTGTACAACTCATACCCTCTCTTTCCCCCCAATACTAATAATAATACAGATAACTCTAACTGTTAGAACAAGGGCACCAGGATAAGGAAAGTGTCCTGAAGACCTCAGTGGACCTCAGGGAAGTCCTGGTGAATATCACCCATATGATCTCACTCAGACTTCAGGAAAACTTGTGGGGACTTTTAAAGTTCAACAATCTCTTTTAGTTCCCACTTAGCTCACAACCGGGAACCTTGAAAGTAAATTCAGGCCTGGATAATTTGCTATTCACCATACTAACTGACCTGGGCAAAGAATGACAAAAGGAATAGTAAAACATGTCATCAGAACAGAAAAAAAAATCAGAGTCACTATGACACACAAGCCTAAATGTGGCATCTTCCTTCTTCTTTGGTGGTTTGGGAAGTGAGAGCCTACAAATTCAGTGTCCCTGGAGGGAACACATTTTTAAAGTCCTTCTGAAACTGAATTGAAGGGCAAAAACTTCAACCAAATAGGGCTTATATCTCTGCTGTCAGTCTCTGCGTGCAAACCACAGTTTCAACGTCTTCTCTCCTTGTTCTTTTGGAGCCTTCTGGACAATCAGGCACCTCTGGGCTACCTGGACACTGCCAAAGTAGCCTTCAGCACTCCAGGGGTCTTTAGACATGAACACAAAACCTAGAAGAAATCTCCTTTCCCTCCAACATTTGCACAAGTCTCTTCCCTCAACTCTGAGCACAATTTAAGGTTACATTGCCTCCGTGGCATATGATATACTTGGAGTATAGTAACTGTCAGCCCAAATGCAAAATTCTGCTACAAGAGCAAATTAACTTGAATGGGGTGGGGGTGGTGAATGCTGATTATGGTGATGATGATGATGATGTGTGTGTGTGTGTGTGTCTGTTTTGGCTCCTCTTGTGCATCACTGAGGTAGATGGGAGAAAGATTGTAGGAACTGAGAAGGCTGAGAAAACAGAAGGCCAATGCATTTAGAGAGCCAGGGTGCAGAAGAATATGAGCTGAATATGGAGCAGAACCAGGAAAACAATATACACAACAACAACGTTGTAAAGAATTAGGGTTAAAAACTCTAATAAATGCAATGACATACCGTGATTCCAGAAGAGTCATGATAAAACCTACCAAGCTCTGGACAGAGAGGGGATGTCCTCAGAATACAGACTGTGTATGTGTGTATATTTGTTCATGTGCAGATGTGACCAAGGTGAGAATTTATTTTGCTTGACCACATATATTTGTAGCAGCTACTTTTTCTTCTTTCTTTTTTGTTTTCTGGTGAGGAAGGTGAGGTGGAAGGGAGAGAAAATAGATGTTCATTTTTTAAAATGATTTTTTTGAAGTAGAGTGATCGAAAGGACGTGAAGCCTTCAGGAGAAAGTTCAGTGTCAGTTAGCATAAAAAGGTAGAAGGAATCTGAAAGGAAGATATTTAGGATGATATGTACCATCAGCTTCAATAGTTTCTTCCACAATGAATGTAGGAACTGTTACCATATCTTTAAGAGACAATGGAATCTTAGAGTGATAGTTTAACTGTCATTCTATGAGGAATCTCTGAGAAGCCTGAAAGCTTAATTGTCATTCAGGAGAAACTGTTAATGTGATGGCTAACGAAAGGAATAAGTAAAAGGACTAAGAGAACTTACTTCCTGACAGGATTGGGTTTAATGCTTTTCATGCAAGGAAATATGAAGAAAATTCTTGAGAAGAGACTTCAGTTGGTACCTTGAGAGAAATCAATGGTGGGACTGTGTTTCCAGGATTGAGAAGTCAGTGGTTGTAATGATGCTTAAAGGTGACTTCAGCTGTGGTCTTTTTTCATAGATGATTGTATTATAAATAATCATTTATGGTTTTGTTTCATTTTGTTACACTGTTAATAAATAGTCAACAACCTTGTGCTTATTTAAATTTAGGGAGGCACAGAGACAGAGTTTCTAGATTTCATGGGGTTAAGAGCTAATTGTTTAATTAATCAGAGAAATGTTGCAATTTGTCATTAATAGCAGAGTACATACTTTGATTAGAATCTGGAATGAGAATGAATGTCTTGGAATTCATTCAGTACAACTCCCTCATTTTGCATACAAGGAAACTGACGCTCAGAGAGGTCTAATTAATAATCTGGAGGTTACTTTATGGTTGCCTCCATAGAGAATCAAACCACCAAATTAGGGTGTAGGTTGCTCTCGCCTGGCCAAAGTAGGACTACCTAATCTGTAGAAAATGCCTAATTCCATCATAGATGAGAGATGCCAAGAGGTGTTTGGATCTATAGATGCTACAGAGAGAGGAAACATTCTACTCAAGCCCACCAGGGGGAGGTTTGGTTGGATAGAACCTGCATCAGACACCAGTGCTAGATGGGATTCCTCTCAGATGCCAAGCAGCTTCTGAGTGGTGAAGGCATATATCTCTACCTTCCTTTTGATCCAATATTCTGCCAAGGAAGAAAACAGGTTTTTTCCTTGACATGTATTCTTATTCCAAATGTCCAAAGCCATGAGGCATAGGAAATGATTGTGTCTTTTGTCACAATGACAGATCATGGCTTCTCCTATAACTTGGGATTCAGGGGTTAGGATACTTCTTTTCCTGTTGAATATGGAACAAGCAATGTTTTTGCATTTCTAGGCAAGATAAGAGTCCAAGGAGGAGACAAGTGCTCAGGACGTTTGGAGGTCTGGCATGAAGGCTCCTGGGGCACAGTATGTGATGACTCCTGGGATCTGGCTGATGCTGAGGTGGCTTGTCAACAACTAGGCTGTGGCTCAGCCTTGGGTGCCCCAGGAGAGGCTGCATTTGGCCAAGGAATTGGGCCCATCTGGCTGAATAATATTCATTGCAAAGGAAATGAGTCCTCTCTTTGGGACTGTATTGCTGATCCCTGGGGTCAGACAGATTGTGGGCACAAAGAAGATGCTGGTGTGAGGTGCTCAGGTAAGGGTCTGAGAACCTGGGATAAAGCTAGGAACCGAGCCACTGGAGACTATGTCATAACGGCTCGGGGTAGTGGGGAGAGAAGCAGGTAGAAGGAAGGAAAGGCATTGGTTACTGCTGCCAAAGTCTGTGATCACACTCTGACTTTGATCCTGTTACCTTAATACCTTCCAGTCCTGATGGAAGGAGATGAGGAGATTCTGATATGTACAGAAAGGGGGACTTGGAAAGGTGACAATGGGACTGAACCAAGCAGGAAGGGGCCTAGAACCTTGTTTCCTGCCCCCAGAGTATGACTGTCCTCCTCCTTCCTCCTGCAGGTGTTCCCATGACTGCAGAACCTCAGGAATCCTCAGGTACAACTCTCCTATCCATGAGGTCACTATGATGGAGTTAACAGGAAGGAAGGGGGCTCCAATAACTTGTATGGGGGCAGCTCAGTGAAGAGCAAGCCAGGCCTGCCCTTGTGTGACTCCTCCCACACACCCCACAATCTTCCGAGACTGTTCCACTCTCCTAGACCAACCTCTGATAAATCCCACTCAGGTATTGGGGATGCAAGAATATTTCTCAGATACACACCCATCTGGAAATGGCCCCAAGGACCTGCTTATCACTGTTTGAGCAGCTTCAGTTCTTCTGGCAACCTTTCCATAAGGAGAAGCACAGGACCTCTCTATTCTCCACTACTAGGCTATTGGTGCTTTCCCTGAAATAGACCCATTTCCAAACCCTCACCTGTACTTGGACATTATTGAAGGACTTAATGCATTGGAGGGACAGGGGATTTAGGTGCCAGTAGTCTACAGCTATAAAATAATGAGCCAACAAGTGCATTTGGAATTCCACAAGGAACCCAATGTCTTTATATGGATGTATTGTCTGGCCTTTAGCTCATTGGATATCGTAAGAGGATCAACCCATGGCATTTCAGCAGGAAACCAAGTCATTGTGTATCTCTTTCATAGGTCACAAAGCATTCAGATTGTTCTGGATCCTTGGGGTCATCCTGATAGTACTGTTCCTGCTTGTTCTCTTGCTGTGGTCCAAGGCTAGAAGATGGACTTACCAAGTCAGAGGTGTGAACCCCATTAGCCTGTGGCTCAGGAGGCCTAATAGCACTGGGTTCTCTAGGACAGGACACTCAACTTCAGATGATCAGGGCCTGAGTGTGGGGCCTCAGGCTTAGGGTGAGAATTTCCATTGTGGTGAAACTTACTAGGACAGAGTGAATTGACCTCTTTAGGGGATCCCTACCCCAGAACTTAAGGAAGGGCGCCTGATGGAGCCAATGTATCAGCTCAATTGTTTCAGTATACAGAATTGGCAGGGTTTGGCGTGAATATATGACCTGTTGACATCTCCTGGGTAAGAAAGGCTAATGAAGGACAGGTGGGCAAGGGCTGACATACAAGAGAAGGAGGACATAAGACACAACTGGAAGTCTTGTAAACAAATGCGGAATTCCAAGGAAGTATCATATCTGGGAAAGGAATCTGGAAAGTAGATAGACCATGGGGAACATGAAGAAATACCCATAGAGTTGTGAATACATGCCAAGCTGGGAAAAAGAGAGCTTTCATTCAGTGAGAGGGACATTGATCCATCTGGGGAAGTAGTGATGAGGATGGCAAGAGTTGGGATGTCAAGATGTGACCCCCTTAGCCTGAGACCTCTCTGTTCTCATGCTTTTCCCAAGTAGGAAATCTTCTTCAAGAAGCTATTTACAAGAAGATGAATGTTCACCAGAAGGAGGATGAAGACCTACATCTATTCAGCAACCCAGGTCTGTGAGGCTCAGGGGACTTTTGCTCAGTTGGAGGGGCCTCCCATGATGAGACTGGCCTCTAAATGCCCAATAGAGAATAGACTATATGTACAAGAAAGAGTAAATCCCTGAAAAGATCTGCTTGAAATGACTCATACACAAGAACAGCCATCCTGGGGCTAGCCCACAGTTCATCTGGCCCTATATTCTGACTTTGATGAAGCTCCAATGACCTCATAGGAAGCCATAGAATTAAACTCTCTTTGCTCCTTCTAATAACTGATTTTTATAGGATCATGATATCATGAATTTAGAGCTTAAAGGGATCTTAAAGACCCTCAGATCCAACTCCTGAATTTTACAAATGAATACACTGAGGCACAGACAGGTTAAGTGACTTGTCCACAGTAACACAGCTTGTAGGTGTCTAGAGTGGGATTTGAACCCATGTCTTTTTACTCCAAGCCCAGGGTCCTGTCTTCTGTACTGTGCTAGAATACTTGCATAGTGCTTTGAGGTTCACAAAGTCCTTTACATGCAATATTTCATTCCTATATCACATGACAGCATAGGCAAAGTGCTTTGCCCATATTAAAGGGTTAGAGAAATGTCAGTTATCTCATCCCTTCCTAACCCTTCCATGGCTCCTCCTAACTACTGCCCTGTCTTCTCAGCTGAGAAGCTTGCCTTATAAAGGATCTTGAGATCACTCAAGAATATCTCCCACTCTTCTTCACTGGATCTTCCAGTGATAAATCACTTATATAGATCTGCATTCAGACTCTATACTTCTTCCTCTGGATATGGATAGCATTTTCCATCATGAGTCTTTTGAAATTGTCTTGGATCACTGTATTGCTGAGAAGAACTAAGTCTACCATAGGTGATCATCACACAGTGTTGCTGTTACTGTGTACAGTGTTCTCCTGGTTCTGCTCACTTCGCTCTCCATCAGTTTCATGTAAATCTTAACAGGTTTTTCTGAAATTCACCTGCTCATCATTTCTTATAGCACAATAATATTCCATTACATTCATATACCACAACTTGTTCAGCCATTCCCCAATTGATGGGCATCCCCTCAATTTCTAATTCTTTGCCACCACAAAAAGAACTGCTGGAAATATTTTTCGTACATGTGGGTCCTTTCCCATTTTTAATGATCTCTTTGGGATACAGACCTAACAGTGGTATTGCTGGATCAAAGAGTATACACAGTTTTATAGCCCTTTTGGCATTTTCTAGCCTATTTCTTTACTTTAACTCTATGCTTAAGTGAAGCTCTGCTTCTGGAGTGGTGTGGGCACTGTTCCAAGTTTCAGATTTCAGCTGTTAATTGTGGGTACCTGTAAGTTCTTGGTTCTTCTAAGGTGGTATGATCTAGGGAGAGGTGTGTTTACTACTCTCCTGGATTGTGCTCTTGTCTGTGAATGACCACAAGCACTCTTCTGCTCTGGAACTGTAATCATGGTCCCTGCTGCCTTATGGACACAAGGTCTAGTGTGCTAATGCTCCTCCTTGCCCTGGGACTGAGACCCAGGATTGTGACCCAGATTCAAATATGAGCAATGCAACAACATCCTGCCCCTGGTGTTAGCAAAGGGATCCCTGTGATCTCCTTCTGACGAATTGTCTGACCCCCTTATCATCTGTAGGCTGAGAGGTCTGGAAACCACCACTACCACTATTGATTCAGTTATCCCAAAGGCTATTGGTTTGTGTACTGGGGTATGGCTTGTACTGGACTATGCTCCACTCTCACCTTGGTGCAACAGACCTTTCCTGCCCACCTTCTAAATTGTCTTAGTCTAGCAAATTGTTTTACTCCATCCTTTTGTGTGTTCTGCCACTCCAGAATTTGTTTTGAGGCATTATTTTAAATTGTTCAGAGGGGTTCGGGGGAGAGCTCAGGTGAGTCCCACCTTCTCTCCAGCATCTTGGCTCCACCCTCCTGTTTTTTCCTATTTCTTATGAAAACTGGAAAGCTGAATTTTCAGCTAAGGAAAATTTAAATTCTCCAAACTAATAGCATAGACATTCCTGTACCCATGACATCTAAAGAGAGAAGTCCTTGTCAGAATTATGCAGCAAGCAAAGCTTGAGGGGAGCTCCTCACATCCCTTTTTCTCTGGGTCTCCCCTCCAAATGGACAACTGTTTTCTTCTTTCTTCACCTACCACCACATCTGGGACATCAGACTGACTCCATGTTCTCCACTTATCCTGCCTACTGTTTTCACCTTGTAATTTGGCCTTCCTGAGCAGGGCTGCACATTCAGGAATGACCTGAGTATCCCTGAGGCTACTCTGAGGAGGTTGCACAGCCAACTGGGCCAGCTAGTCCAAGATAAGATGCAAATGGGGAAAATGAGGATGTCATTTTTGATAGACATCTTTGGGGAGTCACTGATGACAAAGCTGCCAAGCACCTTTTTAGGTCTTTGGAAAAGCTTTTAATTAGAGACACCTCTCTGTAATTTGACTCCAACCTCTCCCAGCCCCACCACTGAGCCTCCTTGCATTCACCTTTCTCTACAGAATCAGAGCCTGATTAAAATCTATAATAGGAGATTTCCTTAGTTGTTCATAGACTCACTCACTCCACAGGGAGGGAAGGAGGCTTTTCATCATTCTTATTAAATATTTTAACCCTTTCAGAAGCTCCTAATGGCTTAAGTGGTGCTCCAAGATCTGGTTGTGAAGTTGCTGGAGAAGTCTCTGAGCCTGAACCATTTCCCATTTTCTGGATTAACAAAACGGATGCTTTGGCAACCCCAGAAGAAAGGAACAGGAACAAAAATTCTACAAGTGAGTGGGCAACAAATGTGCATGTTCTGTGTTTAGCTTTAGGAGACAGTTTGAAAGTCACATGATGCCTCTGTGATCAGGAGAAAGCAAGGGAGATGAGGGAACTGCTCTAGTCAAGGGGTTGAGAAGCATGCTGAGAGTTTATGCCTGGGCATTGGGAAGCCCATGTCAGAGCTGAGTTTGACATGGAGATACAAGATACAAAGTGCTTCATGTCCAGACTGTACTTCCCTGGGCTTTCAGGTCCATGTCTTTGGAGAAAGAGTTAGTCATACTTCTCCTTTTCTAGTACCACCCAGAACAGCTGGAGAAGCACAGCTGTAGTTGGAAAACATGAGGTTTTGTCATTTCCTACACATATCTAGAAGGAAAACATTGGTGTGATAATGGAGCCTGCAGCTTCACAATTTGAGTTACTCAAGATCTACAACACAGGCTATTGACTGTACAGGTGTTCATTATGTGCCTGCTTGGTCCTCTAACCTTTTAGGAAAGACTTCTTTATCTTCTTCAGTCTCAGCTTGTCAGTTCAATGTTGTAAGGCACTCCTGGTGAGCAAGCATCCCCTACAAGTGCAACTGTTCCCTGTTCTGCAACTTAGAGTGTTAGAGTGTTGCCTCCGACACCAAAAGCTCAGATGACTTGTCCATAGTCATGTAGCCACTATGTGCTGGAGGCAGGGCTTGAACTCACTCTAACCACGACACCATTACATTAGGGTTAGGGTCATGCCTCGGGTTAGACTTAGAATGATCTATTTGTGTCTATTATGATCTAAAATTCTTGAGAACAGGGACTGTTGATTTCTTTTGTATTTGTATCTCCAGGGCCTGGTACATAATAGGTGCTTAATTAATATTTGCTCATTCAACATATTTTCTGTATACCTTGAATATCTAAATTTTATGGGAATGTTTAGGTGAAAATTTGTTCCTAATGACAATCTCTCTTTTTATTATAATTGCATTGATTTTGTTCCTGCATGAGATTTTAAATTTTTATTTGAAGTTATGTATTTTGTCTTTTGTGACCTTCTTTATTCCCAGCATTAAAGAAAAAAAAAAAAAACCTCTCCCTGAAACCATAGCTGGCAACTATGGTTCCTACTTCATTCCTGTCTATTTTTGTTGTGGTTGTGGTGGTTGTGTTTATAGTATGACAGTTACATTTGGAGCCTATATATTTCATGAGGTAGGGCTAGGTGGCACAGTAGATAGAGCTCCAGGTCTCATCTTCCCAAGTTCAAATCCAGCTTCAGATGCTTATAAGCTGTGTGACCCTAGGCAAGTCACTTAACCCTATTTGCCTCAATTTCCTCATCTGTAAAATGAACTGGAGAAGGAAATGGCAAGCCAGTCCAGTATCAATGCCAAGAGAACCCCAAATTGGGGCACAAAGAGGTGGACATGACTGAAATAACTGAACAACAACAACAATAACATGTTTCATCAACTCCAATAATAGGGAGCTATTACCTTCAGTGTCAAATATAAAGTCAAATATTTAAAGCTGTTAATGAGTTGGGCCTTTCAACCTTTCCAGTCTTCTTATACTTTGCTTTACACTTTGCTTAAAGGGCTTTGCAAACTTTAAAGCACTATATAAGAGCTAAATGTTGTTATCGTTACTTTTGATGATGATGATGACAATGATGACAACAACGATGATGGTGATGACAGTGATGACAATGATGATGAAAACTCACCATGTGCATAATGGGACCTATAGTCCTAACCCTTTTGTAACCCTAACATCCTAATCTGAATAGAGTAAATGGTAATATATTTTCCTTGTTCTTTTTAGGTCAACATCTACAAGCCCTTGAAAGAGACACCACCTTTTGAATAGAAGTTGGAAAAAACTGTCACTTGGATAAACACCATTGTGATGTGGAGCTCAGCTTCTTTGGGTAGGACTAAAAAAAACAGCTAAGTTTGGAGGGAAGTGGCAACTAGGATGCTGAGTCATATGTGTTGTTATTGTATCTTTCCTTGGGAATGAAATAAAGAAGAGTGATACTGCCTGAGATCCACATTGGCCTGCTCTTCTCCCAAGACTCTTTGATTGCTTACATGTGCTTCACTCCCAGGACAGCTGAATCTAATCAAGGGCAATTTATCTATTTCTGGTTTGTGCCTAGTTCATTTTTTAATTGTCCAAAATGACATCTGATTCTATACTCAAGTCCCTTCACAGGACAGCCAAGATAACTTCCTAGTCTGTGACTGTTGCACTGCAGGAATTACGATGAAGAGATTCAGTGAATCAAGTCATATTCCAGGGAAAACATGGCTTTGGAGGAGAAAGCAAGAGTTTTTATGGGACAAAAAGTTTTGGGGGAAAGGACGATGTGAAATACAACAGAGTGTCCAGACATTCATGGATCATTTTTCCCCCCAGATTTGGGATCCTGAACATGCTTGACCACTGTGACTATCTGTATCTCATACACACACACACACACACACACACACACACACACACCATTGTTGGGCTGATTCTCATTGCTTCATGGCATCTATTCATACAATCATTCCATATGTCTCTCATTTCTTGATATTAGTCATTTCTAATAACACAATAAACGTCCATTCATATTTCACATGTTTTGTCATTTCCCAATCAATGGGCATTTGTTTTATGTCCAGATTTTGCTAACCTCAAAAAGTGTTTCTGTCAAGTAAGTCAACCAGCATTTCCTATGCATCTACTATATGCCAAACACTGTGCTAAGTGCTGGAGATACAAAAAAAAAAAAAAAAAGGCAAAAACAGTCCTTGACCTGAAGGAGCTCACAGTCTAATGAGGAAGACAACATGTAAACAACCATGTACAAACAAGTAACAGGATATATTGGGGATAATCTGGGGGGGGAGGCATTTGCATTAAGGGGGATTGGGAATGGTTTCTTTCAAAAGGTAGGAGTTTAGCTGAGACTTGAAGGATGCCAAGGAATTCCAGGACATAAAGATAAGGACATAGAGAGAGTTCCAGGCATAGAGAATGGTCAGTGAAAATGCATGGTCATGAGATGGAGCATCTTGTGCAAAGAACAACAAGCAGGTCAGATCCACATACTGTGTTGCAGAATGCAACTGGAGTGGAGTAAGTAGTGAAAAGAGTGGGAAGGTAGGAAGGGGACAGGTTTTAAAGGGCTTTCTTTAAAAGCCAAACAGGATTTTATATACTCTCTCCCTGTGTTTTCTTCCTCCTTTTGACATGGGCCCAGAAATAATCAGATAAAAAGATACGAACAATTCCATCACTCTTCCTGCATAATTATATTTTTTTTCCAAGAAGATTGGACCAATACTTAACTCCACTGATGGTATATCGGTCTGGCTTTCTTTCCATAAACCCTCCAATGTTCACTACTTCCATCTTTGTACATTGTCAGAGTTGTTTGACTTGCATTTCTCTTATTGTTAATCTTCTGGCTTCCATTGTTCTTTACCTATTCCTGCATGCTTCCTTCTGGCCTCAGAAGGATCACATAGCACTGGAGGACAAAGATGCAGACTAATAAACTGGCCCTGGAAGCCAAGAAGGAGAAAATTCCCACAACCACCACTGCTTTCCCTTCAACACTCTAACAGATGGGGAAACTCTCAGACATTGAAGAATACCAGCATACTGATGGTGATGAATTTGGCTTCCTTGAAGGGATCAGGAAGTTTCCTGGAAAGAAAAGCCACTATGAAGCTCCCCTCGGCCAGGAAACCCACATAGCCCAGGACACAGCAGAAGGCAATGATGGAGTCCTCATTAAACTCAATGATGATGTGTCTGGATTCAGAATGAGCTTCAGTTTCTGGAAATGGAGGAAAGGTCAGCAAACAGATGCCACAGAGAATCACTTGGATCACAAAGTGAAAGAGAATAACAGAAGTGGACCCTTTAGGACCCATCCACCTCCTGATCCTGCTGCCTGGTCTTGTGGCCTTGAAGGCCAGAACCATAGTGAGGGTTTAACCAAATTGGAAGAAATAGCCACAGTGAAAACAACTTCAAATGTGGTTTGCTAAAGGATGCAGGTTGCTGAGGGTGGATGATCAATGAAGATCAAAGAGTAGAGGAAGCAGAGTGTGAAGGAAATACGGACAGTGTAGCTGAGAGCCTGACTATTGGCTTTGACAGTAGGAGTATCTCAATTCTTCTCAAAGACTTTGGGAATTAGGGTTGTGAGCACTGAAAAGGAAAAAGCTATATAGGTCAGAGTGAATCCCAAAACATCTTCAAAGTGGAGGAAGGACATTACTTTAGGGAAGCAATAGTCTCTGACTTTATCAGGATAGTGATCTGGGCACATCATACAGTCATCCATATCTACAGAGAACAAAGAAGTTTTTAGAATTTCCATGTCTGACAAATTCTCCCTATCTCCAAACTGGGAAATGTCAAAATAGATCAAGTCAGTCCTAATCGATCCAATAGGAACAAGGTCCTTATCCTGCCATGTTGAGGCACAAGACCAGCAGTATAGTAAGTAAGGGAGTTAGGGGAACAAGTTCAGACTTAATTTATCCAAACCCCACTCAGCTTTGTAGATTTAGAGTGTTCTTAACTCTACAAATATTTTCTTCCATATTGAAGAATGCTGTAGGTGCTTTATTTTTATTTTATTATCAAACTTGACCAACATCAACCACATGAATATTTAAATATGCAAAGAACAGAAAAAATGTCCTAAATGAAATATGAGCTTTTATTATGAAGTTTTAATAAGTATTAAATTGAACAAAATATTAAGAAAGCTGCCCTGCTTGTCTCTGTCCCCTTCTAAATTTCTTTCAGCTCTCTTCTGTGTATTTTATTTTTAAAAAATTTTTGTTCTTTTTCTCCTCCTTTTTTTTGCCTTCTCTCTCTTTTCTTCTTTTTTCTTCCTTTTTTACACCTCAGTGCTAAGAGCTGGTGAAAGGCTTCTTGTACAAGATCAGATTTCAGTTGTGACTTGAAGGAAACCAAAGAAGCCAGAAGAGAGAGATGAGAAAGAAGAGTATTTGAAACATGGACAGCATCTGATTTTGCGGAAAAAATAGCAATGTGCCCAGTGTCACTGGAATGCAGAGCACCTTACACACATTTGCAAGTCCTCTGCACTCCAGTCTTCCACAAGAATCCTTTCCTGATCCCCCTTAATTCCAGTGTCTTCCCTTTGTTGATTACTTCCAATGTATCCTATTTATAGCTTGTTTGTAAATGGTTGTTTACATGTTGCACTGTCTTGCCTTTCCTTGTATCTTCATCTGTGCATTGTACCTGGCACATAGTAGGGTAATAAAACAGAAAAAAATTAAAAATTACCCATCTAAGATGTTCAGTTGGATTCAGACCAGGAAAGGATGACTCCAAGAGTCATTACAGGAGGGTGAATTGTAAAATCAGAATTTTTAGCCTGCATAACAGAAAGTTGGCAGAAAAGAGAAAATTTTGAATCCGTAGTGATGAGTTTCTACAAAGAAATTTTTAAAAAAGCAACTGATCAGAAATATGAATACACAGAAAGGAAAGATAACCTAGAGGATAAGAAGGAAAAAATAATGACATTCAAAGAATATGATTTCCATGAAAGGAAAACCTATTGGTCTCAAAGATAGGATGCATAGAGACAACTTAAGGATAACAAGTCAATGGTTCTTGAACACCATAATGCAAGAAATAGTAAAGGAACATAAAAAACAAAGTGTCAGTTGAAAGAATCCACAAATCACCTCCAGAAAAAAGTCCTGTGCTACACTCTCCAAGACACATAGTGGTTAAATTTAACAATTCCACTGGCAGAAGTTCTGCAAATGACTAGGGAAATACCTTCAGCTATAAAGGAAAAGAAGCTCAAATAGCAAGATTATTCTCTACTCACCCGAAACCTCAGAAGGGATTGGAATCACGTCCTGGAGAGGAAAGTAGCTCAGGATGCATTCTAGCTCAACAAACCCTGTAAGCCTAATCCCACTTACCAATGGAAAACAAACATTCAGTAAGAGTCAGAGGCCTTTGAAACATTTCAACAATTTCTAGAGGTTCCTTTTTTTTGTTTGTTTTTGTTTTGCGGTTTTTTTTTTTGCTTTCAAATACTATAGGCAACAGAAAAACAGGAAAGAAATAAATATAGCTATCAAGGATTACACAAGTAATAAAATTAATTACTCCTAGGAAAAAAAGGGGGAAAAAGACAGAAAGAGAAATACACCTGTGAGGTTAGAAATCCACCACAATAAGAATAACAAAATGACAACAGTGGAATCATTGAGATTTATCTCAAAGTGCACAAGGTAATAATAATGAAAGTAGAAATTAAATAGAAGTGATGGTGAAAAAACAAACCTGAAATATCAAGGACTGAACCACACTGCACCTCACCCACCTACAGATCAGTCAACATTTTCTGTGGAATTAAGCTAAAAAATTGGAAGACACAGTAGAAGGGAATTAGGAGGGAAATGGGCAGCTAGGTAGCACAGTGGATAGAATGCCAGGCCTAGAGTCAGGAAGACTCAATTTCCTGAGTTCAAATGCCAAAAACAAACAAACCAACCCAGATAGTGTCATGAAAAGTTAGTCATGAGAAGTACAAGGAATAGAAATGGATTACATAAGCACAAACACAGAAAAATTTCTATTACAACACAATTCTTCTATCTTCTCTATCTCCCACAGGGAACTGATACTTCTAAGAGTGAGATACAACCAAAAAAAAAGGGAGAATTAAAGATGGGTCCATCATTTTTTAGTTGTGTCTAGCTCTTTGTGATCCCATTTGGGGTTTTTTGGCAAAGAGATCAAAGGGGTCTGCCATTTCCTTCTCCAGCTCATTTTATAGATGAGATCACTGAAACAATCAAGATTAAGTGACTTGCTTAGGGTCACATAGCTAGTTAAGTGTCTGAGGCCAGATCTGAAATTAGGAAGATGAGTCTTCTTGACTCTAGGCCTGGCACTCTATGCACAGTACCACCTAGCTTCTTTCAAAATAGAAACTTTAGAAGTTTCAATTCCATGAAGAGTAAAGAAGGAATAAAAGAGCAGAAAGAATATAAATCAAAGGATACAATTTTGTAATAGACAGAAATAAAAACCAATTAACAAAGAGAATAAGGGAATTTTTTTTAAAGCACAGAAAATGGGGGGAAAAAATCTAGCAAACAAAAGAAGTTGAAGGGGGAAAGGGAGGGAAATTTTATTTAACTAACTGAAAGAAAAAAAGAAGAGCAGAATTAGATAACTAACAACAAGTGTCCTTTCTGTCTGATCTCCAGCTTCTGGAGGGAAAAGAGGTGACCTCCAGAATGGAAGAGAGCTGCACTTTCCATCTTGTTGCTTTTATCTCCTACTTGATCTCTAGCCTCCAAAGAGAAAAGGAAAGAAAATAAGAATGGAGAGAAGTGGGCACCTTCCATCTTTTCCTGTATCCTGCTTGATTTCCAGCCTCTCATGGGAGAAGGAAGTGGAGAGGTGGGCTTTTTACTATCATGTCCCACATGGCTCCTGTACAATGAACCTCCTGTGGGAAGAGGGAAAATGCCATTCCCTCATATCAATCTCCTGCTGCTGGAGTGTTGGAAGAAGGTGCTATGCCATCAAATTCCAAGCTGGTCTCTTGCCGTGGGGAAAGAAAGTATCACCACTCTTGCTCCAAGTTCTCACTCCCTTGCTAGAACTTCCCAGAGTTCTGAAATGATTCAGCCCTTAGATCATGTGGAGTTATGATTTTTATGTTCATTGATATGATATGTCATGAATATACTAATAGATTTGATTTTTCAGAATTGCTTTTTGGCTTGTGAGTCAAAAGTGTACGATGTAGCTTGAAACAATCAATCTAATTTTGACAACTCTCATCATCTCACAATCACATCCTTGTGCCTGTGTATCTAAAGTGAAGCAAATCAGATTGTAGAATCTATTCTGATCACATAACTCTGGTTCTGTACCCTAGGAGAGGTGGTCACCACCCCCAAAGAGTTGACTCCAGAATTGTTGTATTGTAAGATTTGTGATTTCTCATGGGAAACCACTAAGCAATTGTTTGTAGTCCACTTTCCCCCTCCCTTTCCATTTATGATTTATGTATATAATCTCTTCACTTCAGCAAGGTGGAATTCTGATCAGGAGAATTCCCAATTTGCAAATATGTTCCTAATAAAACCAATTCATTAAATGGCTGCCTGATTACTGGCATTTTATCTCTGGCCTGCTGTTTCTTCATTCTCAAGTTACAGAGTAGCTCAGTAAAAAAAAAAAAAACTTGTTAACAATCAAAATACTAATGACTTTGAAAATTTCTCTAAATTTTTCACTCAATAATTAATGAACTCTCACCTGGCAATGTCCTCCACATCCCAGTGATTCTGAACCCCTTGTAGGTCATCATCCAAAAACCTATTCTTCTTCCTCTACTAATTCCTATTCCCATTCCCCTCAACACCCCCCAAAGTCCAAATCAAATGCTACTCTCCCCTTCCACGGTGCCCCCTGGGATTCCTACTCCATAAGCAACAAGCTTACTTTCATCTTAAATATTTTCCTTTTTCAACATAACCTTGAGGGAAGGAAGTCGAGAGGAAGAGGTGAGGGAGCAGAGAATTCCAGACGTGGGGGAGAGTTAATGCAGAAGCACAGGGATAAGAGATAGAAGGTTATGAGTGAGGAACAGGAAGTAGGCAATCTTAGCCTACAATTGAAGCCTCAATCATAGATCGTAGGGAGGTAAGTAAAGTATAAGAAGTCCAAGTTATGAAGAACTTGAAATTCTTTTGATCCTAGAAGCATCAGGAAGCACCTGGAATTTATTTAGTAGGTATAGGAATACAAATGTTCAGAGCTATAGTTTAAGAAAATTACTTTGGAAGCCAGTTGTAGGATGGTTTGGAGTGGAAATAAAATGGAGGCAAGGAGACCAAGTAGAATTTAGCAATTAGAGTTAGAAATTAGTAGGCCTCAGATTCCCTCACTGGAGTTTAACAAGCAAAGCCTGGAGAACTACTTGGGAGATATGTTGTAGTGGAGGTCTTCTCCAGGCATCAGCTGGACAAGGTAGCACCAGAGGCATCTTCGACTTCAGGAATTCTGTGGCTCTGGAAAATAACTAAACATCTCTCTCTCAGTTCTTACATCTGACAAATTTTTAGCCTAAGGATAAACAGGTAAATTTGTAGGACAAGTATAAATTCCTCAGCAAGATGTGAACTCTTGGTACAGGTTGTGAATTGCTAGGACAGGTGTGAACTTCTAGGATAGGTCATGAAACTATATTCTAGCTATATAATCCACTGGTCCTGGCCACATGGTCTACCATGGTTTTTTTTCTTTGTTTTTTTCCCCACACAAATACCTGCTTTTTGTCTAGGTGGAAAAAAAGATCCTGCATTTATATGTTTACCTGTTACAAGACCTAGAACATTAAGTGTGAATCTTAGGTTGAATGGTGTGAACCCAATCCCTAGACATTTTGTCTCACCCCTGCAAAGAGTATTATATATAATCCTCTTAATACAACTACTATCTCCACAGTGGATTAGAACAGTATTCAAAGACGCATTTGAATAAGATTAAAAAGTAGGTTAAGGCTTAACCACCAGACAAATCTTAACTACTGATATATTGCACTAAAAAAATAACTTACAGAAATCTATTCTTAACCCTATCCTACCTTCTGAACTCATTACCTTAATTACACTGAGAAGTCTTCATTGGGACATCCCATTCAACAGGAACCCTGTTATGCTCCTTGTATCTTCATTGTCTAGCACAGTGTCCTACATAAGAGTGGTGTGACTTGGTGGTATATTACTGATTATGGTGGTTTCTGGCTGCTGATACTGCTTCTTCTGTTAATGATGATAACAGTGGAAGAATCCATATGTTAACTCAGCATTCTCCTTTTCTCTCCTGTAGATTAAATAGTGGTGCCATAAACACAGAGAGAAAGATTATGAAGAAATGTTCTATGAATGTAATGGTGATCAGGATGAACAAACAAAAGGTAAAATTGGTAAACACTGGCTTATACATGTCTCTATAAGTCATCACATTATAAGGAAAAAGAATGAAAACAATGAAGAATAAAATTTACTCCCCAAAAATTTTAGACAAAGACTACATTCTTATCTACTTCCTTTTTCCTATCCATTTTCTTTTTTATGGTGACTTTATTTTCTTTTTTTAATAATTTATTTATTTATTTTTAGTTTGCTTTTCCTATCCATTTTCAATGAGGCTTTGGCATGTGAGATGTCATGCTATCTTTTTGATCTCCAAATTCATTAGCCATACATAGGACAGTCAGATTGGAGCTACCCTAAGGACACATGGATGGTAGAGTTCATCTCTTTCATCTTAGGTGTGTTATCTATTCCCCAGTCCTGTGAAATGAGGTCTCCCCTAAGTATATAGGAATAGTAGGACTGATTTTTTTTTTTAGGCAATTGGGGTTAAGTGACTTTCCCAGGGTCACACAGCTAGTAAGTGTCAAGTGCTTGGTCTGAGGCCGGATTTGAACTCAGGTCCTCCTGACTTCAGGGCCAGTGCTCTATCCACTGTGCCACCTAGCTGCCCCTAGCACTGATATTTTAGATGTAGCATCCATTCACAGTAGGGTCTACCTACTAGATCTACCCTAAGAACTCACAGATAGTAGAGTTGAAAAAGGAATCATTGAGTTGATGCTGGCATTTTTTTTCTTCTGTCCTGAACTTGGCCTGTAATGATGAACAGAGTTTCATGAAATGAACATTGTTTTGTCGATGAAAATCCCTGATATTGAGCCCTTAATCTGGACACTTCTGAGTGACCACTGCCATGCCTCTTAACTAGTCTGGACCACAATCTACCTATTTGCAAAATAGCATGATGGTGTTATTTCTCCTTCCTTTACCAGGTTGCTGTGAGCGAAGTATTTGTAGAGTGTAAAGCTATAGAAATGTGAGCTACATATTTGGCATATGTGGCTCCATATCTAGCACTAATGTCCTTGGATATTCTGTGTCTAAGCCACTCCAATGTTTCCCATTTTTAATGGATCTTTACAATATCAAAATGATAGTCTGAGGCAAGTAGGCAATTATTAACTATTGTTCATGATCATGGACTTTCTTTGCTTCTCAGACGATGAACATCTTCCTGAATGGTTCCCCTTTTTGGTCACCAGGAGAACATGAGAGAAGCACAAGATGAAATCCAAGCCATCTGACTCCATCCTCTTGATGTGAAGGAAATTTCAACAGAGCCTGTTTTCTGAATTTTCAGTCTATCTCATTCTGAGAATTACACTCCATAAAAGCAATGGATAGAATGCTGAGCCTGGAGTCAGGAAGAACTAAATTTAAATCTTCCCTCACACACTTACTAGCTGTATGACTTTGAGGAAGTCACTTCAACTCTGTTTGTTTGTTTCCTCATCTGTAAAATGGGGATAATAATAGCAGCTACTTCCCAGGGTTGTTGTGAGAATCAAATGAGATAATATTTGTAAAGCACTTATAATAGTGCCTGGCACAGAGTAAATGCTATTCAAATGTTAGCTGTTACTGGATTACTATTATTTCCATTTTATTGTATCCTTTTATGGTGTTTAAATAAATCACATGGCTATAAGTGAAATTGGCCAAGAGCTTTCCCCAATGTTGAGTGAAGTAGAGCTACTGGGAGCTGAATAAAGATTTCTTTAGTTTTCATATTGCTGTGTGATGTTCCATTCCCTTAAACCAATCAATTGTTGCATGTTTGGTTCTAGCTGTTGCTTCTTGACTGGCCTACAGGTTCCTCAGCAGAAAAAAAGATTATCTGGTGTTTGAGGACTTCCCATATTTTGTTGTGATCCACACAGTAAAAGGTTTTAGTGTAGTCAATGAAGCAGAGGCAGATTTTTTTTTTCCGGAACTCCCTTGCTTTCTCCATAATCCAGCAAATGTTTATATTTTGGTCTCTAGTTCCTCTGTCTCTCCAAAAAACAGCCTGGTCTTCTGGCAGGTCTCATTTCGCATATTTCTGAAGCCTCACTTGCAGAATCTTAAGCATAACCTTGCCGGTATGTGAAATAAGCAAAATTGTTCAGTAATTTGAACGTCCTTTGGCATTACTCTTCTTTAGGATTGAGACTTAAACTAATCTTTTCCAATCCAGTGGCCACTGTTGAGTTTTCCCAATTTTCTGGCACCTTAAGTGTAGCACTTCCATCACCTCCACTAGCCTTATTGTTAGCAATGCTTCCTAGGGTCTACTTGACTTAATTCTCCAGAATGTATGGTTCTAGATCAGTAACCACACCATTGTGGTTATCAGTGGTGTTAAGAACTTTCTTGTATATTCCTTTTATATATTCCTTCCCCTTCTTAATATCTTCTACTTCTCTTAAGTCTGTACCATTTTTGTCTTTTATTATGCCTATTTTTGCATAAAACATTCCCTTGATGTCTCTAATTTTCTTGAAGAGATCTTGTCTTGTTTTCTTCTATTTCTTTGCTCACTTTAGAAAATCTTCTTATCTCTATTTTCCGGAATTCTTCATTCAGTTGGGTATATCTTTCCCTTTCTCCTTCCCCTTTCACTTTCCTTCTCTCCTCAGCTATTTGTAAATCCTAATTAGACAGCCATTTTTCTTTCTTGCTCTTCATTTTGGGAGGGATGTTTGTTTTTTGTTGTTGTTGTTGCTGCCTCCTGTACAATATTGTGAACCTCTGTCCATCATTCTTCAGGCACTCTACATATTCTATCTTATGAGCAAAGTACATCATGCAAAATTCCAGTCTAGAAAAATCAAAAGCTTGAATTAAGGTTGTTAGGAGAAATGCCAACAATCTTAGATATGTGGATGATAGCACTCTGATGGCACAAAGTGAAGAAGAATTAAGAAGCTTCTTGAAGAGGGTGAAAGAGGAGAGTATAAAAGCTGACTTGAAGCTTAACATTAAAAAAAAAGTAGTGTCAGATTTTATATTTGGGGGCTCAAAGTTCACTTCAGACAGCTACTGCAGCCACAAAAAAAAAACATGCTTACTCCTTGGAAGGAAAGCTATGGCAAATTTGGACAGCAGAGAGATTAGCTTGCCAACAAAGGTCCAAATAGTCAAAACTATGGTTTTTCCAGCAGCAATGTACGCCTGTGGGAGTTGCACTATGAGGAAAGTTGAGTGCCACAGAATTGATGATGTCAAACTGTAGTGCT